TTGTGCTGGTCGTGGCGCAGACGGAAGTTGTCAGATTCAGAGATCGACTGCATAAGCTCTTGAATCCGCGCTGAGAGGTGTGATCGTTCCGTTTCAACCTCTTGAAGCTGACGAGCCTTTTCCTCGAGATCCTTGCGTGAACTTGTCATGCGCTCCTCGGCCTGGGTCATGATCTTTCGTTCGATCTCGGCCTCTGCATTCATGCGGGCAGTTTCGGCGTCCGTGAACCTCTCGCGAAGTTTAATCAATTCACTTTGCAGTTCCTTCCTTGTCGTTTCCGCAGCAACTCGTGCCTCCGTAGCGCGGCGCAAACTATCCTGCTGGATGTACATCTCTTTCTCAATGGTGATTTTGGACTCATTGAGCGTCTCATACTTCTGAGTCAACTGCGCGAGATTGTGCTCGGAAAGCATTTGCACATCATCTCGCGACTGCCGTTCTCGGCTGAGGTCGGCTTGAGCCTGGAAGAGCTGGCTCTTGAGGTCATTTATCTGTTCCTCTAACAGCTTCCTGCTCTCTCCAGCCTCGGCGTCTTCGGATCTCTTGTTCTCGAGCAGATTCTTGAGGTCCGCAGCTTCACGTTGAAGTTGAGTCTGCTCGGAACGCATGGCATCTCTCTCGGCTTGTATCTCGCGGAGTCTAGATTGCATGTTGTCGTGGCGTGACAAAAGGGAATCCTTTTCGGACTCGACGCTTCTCTTCTCTTCCTCATGCTTTTGAACATCTTTTCGAAGAACTGCTATCTCACTCTCCTTTCGTCGAAGCATATCTTCGTAGCCAGTGGAAGTACTCGAGAGTTCGGAAATCTGTTCACGAATTGACCTGTTCTCTTCAGAGATATCGCGGATTTGCTTCTTGGAGTTGTCAAGTTCCTTGGAAGTGTTTACCAATTTCATCTCAAGATCATGGTCGGTTTTTAACAATTTCGCTTCCAGGTCTTGAAGTTTACGATCCTTCAAGCTGAGGTGGCTTTGGAGCATCTTGATCTCCTGACCGAGCTCTTGAATTTGCCCATTCTTCTCGGCGAACCGGGTCTCCGTCTCAGAAAGCTTGCTCTCAACTTCCTTTACTTGAGATTGCAGAATGTTCTTTTCTGACTCAAGTTGCTGAATGATCAAACCAGCTTGTTCCAGCTGGGTAATGCGGAGTTGAAGCTGGTCGTCAATCCTCCTCTTCGCATCGACCAATTCATCCAGTTGCTCTTCAAGGCCTTCCTGGTCGGCGATCGCACCGGCAAGCTTGTCGGCCAGCTCGACTTCTCGGTCTTGCAGTCGCTTGAAAATTTCCTCCTTGTCCAATGCAAGTGCACGTTCACTTTCCAACGTATGCTGTATTTTCTGAATCTCGATCTCCGTGCGACGTCTTTCTTCATCCAGCTTGTTGCGATCAGCGAGATCCTGTTTCATCTTGGCTTCGAGTTGTTGGATTTTGTCGTCACGTTTCTTTACTTCCTTTGCATTTCTGGTGTCACCCAGTAGGGGCTTCATTCTTGAGAACATGCGCCACCATGGGCTCCCCTTCAAGTCTAAATAAGCGTGGAAGTTCTGTTGGATAATTCTGGTTGCCTCGGCGCGGTAGAGTCGCTTGTTGGAAATACGGCGCTGAACAAATCCCCGTGCCACAGACTGGAACCTGGTCATGATAGTTCGGATGAGTTGGTCACGCTTCTCCTCTAGATCAGCCAGAACGCCTGCTCTAAAGAAGACCTTGGTGCGACCAACACGGTACCAAGCCCGATCCATGCCGAGCTTTTCCAGCATGGTGCGAGCCACACTCTGCCCCTCCAAGTACCCCTTCGGCATGTTCTGGCAAAGGACTTCGTAACGCTGTCGGAACTCTGTGAACGACAAGCGGTTAGGGAACCCAGTACGAGCAATTCTGATGCCTTCCAGGACACCGTTGCACCGCAGCTGGTCCAACACCAGTGGAGCGTGCAGCATCTTTGGCCGCTTCTTGTGATTAGGGAGGATACAACGGACGAAATGAGGATGGGTTGAGTGGAGCTGAGCCATCAAACTTGATAGCTGTTCCTTGTGTCTTTGGGCGGCTGTCCGGAACAAGCCCTTCTTCACACGACTTCTAGGATGGTTTCCACTGCCATCCTCCTCCAAGTCTGCGCAGTCAGAGAACAAATGTGCTACGTGCGGTGCTTTCGATGCGGCCAAAAGGCGTGTGATGTTGTCATTTAGGGGGTCTTTGTTCTTCTCAAGCCAGTCACTCGTGTTGTACTCAACTTCCGCGGCGTAATGGGTGAGGATGAAGCCCTGGTTGAGACGAGAGGCGCGATACTTTGGAGTCTTGCGGTCCCAAAGGCCATGTAGCTTTTCCGTGAATGACTTGTCCGTGGCCTTGGGCATCACGCAATCCTCATCAAGACAAGAGAAAATACCAATAGGGTTGGTCATCTCGATAAGATCAATCGTCGGCTGCAAGTCCTTCCCGAAGTCGATGAATTGCCACTCAATCTGTTCCCTCGCATATTCTTCTTGCTCAAGGACGAACATATGGTGGTTGAAGAATTGCTGAAGCTTCTCGTTTGTGTAGTTGATGCAAAGTTGCTCGAAGCTGTTGTTTTCGAAAATCTCAAAACCAGCTATATCAAGGACGCCAATAAAATAGTTGTCGTCACTAGCCATTGAGCGACCAAGTTGGCCGTTGATTCTTGTGACAAGATTTCCAAATCCGCGCGCATAGATACCCTTTGAGAGGGCATCCAGGGCCATCCGGACCTGTTCTGGCGTCTGGACTTTCTCCACCCATTCCCGGCCAGCCTTGACGCGTGGATGCAGAAGGCCCTTAACGAAAGCTTCCGTTTCTATGCCCAGGAGTGAGCAAGCCTTTTCCACGCTAGGGTAACCCTCAGGCGTTAGAGTTGCCTGGTCTGCGCGCACACTCGCTTTCACAACACCCACGTTTCCTAGATGTAGGACAGCAGCGATGGTCCGAAGAATACATAGCTGATCCTCCTCTTCAAATTCCATGACATGGAATGCTTCGATCAACGAGTTCCATTCTTCCTGGTCAGAGACACCGACGATGGAGTCGTTTCCATCTCTCGTATAGGCAAAATCCTCGATCTGAAGGTCCGCTAGGAGAAGTTTCTCGCGTGTCTTGCGGTCTGCCCCCTGAAGAAGCTGGTAGAAAACATGATAGTTTCTCTCGTTTGGGTTAGGCTTGACGACTCTTGATTTCTCAAGCAAATACCAATCAATCCAAGCTCCCGAAATTTGGCCTGCGCGTGAGAATTCAATGCGGATAAACTTTCCGAACCGGGAGGAGTTGTGGTTTCGGACCGTTTGGGCGTTTCCAAAGGCTTCGAGGATAGGGTTGGCTCGTAGAATCTGTTGCGAAAGTCCGGTGATTTGCTTCGCTCCAGATCGCCCATAAGGTGTATCAGAAGTAGCGACAGCAGCGAGGTACTGGATAACCTTCTTCGTGTTTTCTGTTTTACCTGCGCCAGATTCTCCTGTTACAAGGATACTTTGATTCTGGCCCTCCTCCACAAGGTTCCGGAACGCTTCATCTGCCACGGCAAAAATATGGGGTCGGGTTTCCTCTCTCCCGCGGCCCTTGTACATTTTGATGTACTCATTGGTGTAGATCGGCAGTGGACAGTACGGGTTAATTGTTACCAAGAAAAGTCCAGAATAAGTCTATGAAGTCAACAAGTCAGTTACAACCACGCATTTATGCAAGTTTCTGGGGTGACGAACATAAATTAGATCTGACTGATATCTGGTGTGCAGGTTATGCACCACAGACGCCTCATTCAGGTGTGTGAGTTCTGCCATATCATCTGCCTTGTCAAACTTGGCAGGGTTGACTTTGTCGACTTGGTCCGCATCGACTTCTCGTTGCTACTTAGTGTCAGCGTTATTCAATTTGGTCCTGGGATAACATCCATACATCGCCATCGTCAGTCTGCACTAGCAGACGCCCTCCTTCGAATTCCTCCAGAACCAGGCCTCGCACAAAGGCCCTTTGAGGGTCTCGCAGCCAGACATATTTGTTCCCCGAAAAGTCATTTTCACCTTCGAGTCCACGAATCTGATCCGCTCCCCGTCGGAGTTCCTCAGATTTGATAAAACTTGGGGCAAATGTTCCGGAGGAAGTACTGTTCTTTGCAGAGTTCGATCGTTCACGATTTCCGCTTAGTGATAATGTTGGCGACAAATTTGACACGGATGAGTTGCGTAGATGACCTCTTGCCGACTCCAGCCCATGGGATGGTGTAATAATGGCCGATTTGGGCCTCGCCTGTGGTGAATGTGTTCCTTGTGAAGATGATGGGCGTGCAAATAGACTAGCACGCTTTGGCGAGCCATTCAATTGGGATGGAAGCATGGCGATTGTAGTTCAATCGGACATTATTTGGGCGCAGCCGTCGTTATCATAGCAAAGATGATCTCCGCAATATCAGCTGAAATTGTTGTGGAAGTGAGTGGAATAGGACACTCAAGGCAGAAAGAATCGGGCAGAATACAGTTAGAAGAGCTGGGAAGTTGGCCAAAAGTTGGAAGAAAAGGTAAGATGTTCGGAGTGACGCACCCCAATGCCCATGATGTTTGTTTACTCTGCGTTCCTCGGGCGCCCGCCGATCGTAGATGGCCCGTGCGTATATCACGTGAGGTACTCGATCATTTTTGTCAAAGGCGCTTAGACCTTACCTACAGGAGACCGCGTATCTCAATTCTTCTCGAGTTCAACCCGCTTATCCATCTCTTTCTCATTCTCTAATCTGGAATTCATTGTCGCATGGCCCTTTCTTGTCTCTAGCTCGCCATCAGATCCTAATCACACCTCCCAAGGGCTCCTAAATCCAAGTCTTGCGTATTCTTTTCCCGAAGACCTTCCGGTACCTCTCCACCTGCTTCATCCCTCAAGTCATCATGAGATTTGGTCTTTGAAGCCTTGACCTCTCTTTAACTCCTGTCCTTAAGCCTTTCTGTTTTGAGAATCGTAAAGAATACGCATCTTTCGTCCCTGCGCGCGATATCATCATGTCTGACCCACCTCCCTCATACGGTGGCCATCCGAACTATGCGCAGCAATGGCCTCCTGCATACCCCTCGATGATCCCCCCAAATTTCCCCATCAACTCAGACTACTCTCGCATGAGTCAGCCATCGGCAACAAATCCTGGTCCGACCTTCGACTATAACATGGCAAGCGTCAACGCCAATTCGCGAATCGCAGGTTCAAGTGGCCCCGGAAACTCAGCATTCATTCCGCCTCAGTTCCCCTTCTTCAATCACTTCGACACGTCACAATTTCCATCTCCGTTCCCTCCAATGCCGTTTCCTCCGATAGGCTATCCCCCATTGCCAACAGGGTCCTCAAATGTCCCTATCACATATCAAGCTATGGACGGACGCGGCTCAAATCAACTATCAACGCCAGCCGTACATCCGAATGACATCCCAGCTCACGCGGATAATCACCGTGAGGAAGGCGAAGTTAGTGAGGAATCGGATGAAAGGTCACTACAGCCAGCGCGCAAGGCTACGCGCCAATATATGGACCTGGAAGAAGGAGAAACAATGTCTTCTAGCGCACAGTCTTCTAGGAGTAGTGAGTCACGTATTACTCCCACCCCTCCCCATGTTTAATTATGTTTTACTAATATTATGCAGCATACAACCCTCCTTTGTCAGTCTCGGCAGACCCAAGCATAGTCCACCATGCGATTCAGTCTCAGCGGCAGGACTCACCTGCAACCGTCCCACCCCCTCCAGCTCAGAAATCGGTAGCACAGCTCCGAATCCAAGCCCAAGGCGCTTTGCTTAGCCTGGCGCCCCATAATATCCGCTACAGTGAACTAGTGGCGGAGGGTATCAACCCTGTGGTCTTGAGACGCCTTTACGAAGAAGTCGGCATCAAGGTCCCCACTTCACCTGCACAGGGTCCCACAGTTCCTGAGAAGGCCTCCGCCGCGTCGATAGTTGCTGCCAAGGAACTAGAATCTAGCAAACCAGCTGAGCTTGGCGAGGTAGTGAAGGAGAGTGACAACACCACAAAGCCGAATTTGCCAGTGGTCCACCCTTCTGTCCCATCAGTCCCCTCTTCTTCCAAATCTGGCAAGCCTATGGAGCGAAAGGAACTTATCGCCCGGATGCTGGCTGAGAAAGCTGCGAAGGCGACATCGAAAGAGACTTCACCAACTGGCAGTGCGAAATCTCTCCCTACCATACCAGCCGAGGAGGCCCGTCCGGTTCAGAAGGAAACTCTAGCAAAGGAGAAGAGCAAAGCGCAGACGGAGCTGGCAAGGCAGCGAATTGAGGAACTCAAAAGACAGACACTACTGAAGACCCAGAAATTGGCTCAGGCAAATCTGCTGCCGGCTCAGTCAGAATCTCCGGCGCCAGCTATTCAACACCCGCTTCCCGTTCGACCTCCTGTGCCTGAATCTCGACGCTCTGTTGCGCTTCCAGGACTTCTCATGACTAGATCGGAGGAGCAGCCAAATGAAGCTGTTGCCTCTGAGGCGGTACGGACTATCGACGTTGACTCAACACCGGTGTCTCGGGCATCCCAACGCAAGCGGCCTCGGGCTTCCGATTTCGATGAGCCAGTTGCACCTCTGAAGAAGAATTTCAATCCAGCTGCGCCTCGGTTCGACCCTGCCGATAGACTTATCATTGCAATCAGCGACGACGAGGAATCACTCTACGGCGATGACGAGGACGACAACATGGAGTTGGATTCGAGCCCAGAACAGGAACAAGCGCCGATAGTGACCTCGACCAGTGTGAAGCCTCCTATTCAATCCAATCCTCCCGTCATACGGGCGTCGACATCTACACCACAAGCCCCATCTAGTCTCAGTGACCAAGGAGATATTCGACTTAAAGATCTGGAAATTCAAGCTATGCGTCGCAAGATTGCAGAGCTGGAGCTACGAAGAAAATCAAAGCTTGCTGCCAGCCGAACCCAGTCACCTCGTAACCTGGATGACTCTGGAGCATCATCATCTGGTGGACCATCCAGTGTTGTCGCAGCTACTTCTGAAGAAGGTAAAGTTCTTTATATTTTATTTTCTCTTCCTGTCTCTCTCTGGCTGGGAAATCATCATCCTCTAGTATTTTCGAGTGAATTATTACGATTTAGCTAACCATTGCGCAGATACCTTGAAGACTAAACCGACGACCGCTGCCCCTAGTTCGCTCATCCCCGGTGCCCATGTTTCCGAACCAGAAGCATTAGCCGAGGGCGCTGTCGCCCAAGAACCGCTCGAAAAAGCCTATGCCAGTGAAGTGGCGAACGGTGTAATTGATAGAACCGCAGAGACGTCGGCTTCATTTGAGTCCGATTCTGCTGGGTCGGCTATGCAAGAGTCTGATGACAACAGCAGTGATAGTTCCGATTCGTCCAGCGAGAGTGAAGAGGAGCCTGTTAGCTCGCCATCGCAAGCTGATGCCGACGCTGCTATTGTGCCGTCATTCTCAGAGCCTATGGAGATTGGCTCTTCGGTGCGATCTGCGTCCCGGAGCTCGCCCTCCGCCATCACCCGCCCTAGTGCAAATTCTGCCGACGAATATGCTTCTCAACACCACCTTAGCGAACAGTCTCAGCGTGAAGAGTCTGTGGAGTCCGACGGCTATGAGCCCCCAGAGCCTGATACCGAAGCTCAGTCTGAAGGCTCGAGTTACAGCCCTCCTCCATTCAGCCCAGCTCTTACCGGTCTCGTAGAAAATACAGCAGGCTCGGCACCATCATTTGACTTAACTCAAGCTGATGAAGAACTAACCCCCGCGCCTCAGATCTCAGACGTGTCAGAACCATCACCCCGGTCGGATTTGCAGGTTGGCGCTCCTAACGTATGAACACTCCCCTTATCATTGGAAGGTTATGTTGACCACATACTAACCCTTATCCAGACCGAAGCATCGCGTGCTATTTCAGAACAAAGGTTCACGCCGTACACCAGCCCACTACGAACTTTCAAGGCTTATCGCTACCACCCGCATTATACCGAAGACGTTCCGAGTGGCTACCGCTCGCTAACTTACAGTCATAATATTGATTCCATGAAGTACATGTGTCCATATGAGCTGGCGGGGGGTGTCTGTAATGACCGATCCTGCGAGTTCCAGCATCTTCGGGACATGACTCTAAGTGGTGCGTCGACATGAACAACGTGCAACACCCCACCTCGTCCTCGAGCTCCCCCACCGGCGTATTGCACTATCTAGTCTGTTTCTACTTTCTGTCTATTGCTCTACTGCCTTCGTCTTTCCCTTCCCTTCCCTTACCTTCCCTTCCCTCCTTTCCTTTCCTTCCGACTCATTTCCCATCTCTTTTCTACCCTGTTCGAATGCTGACCACAGAGCCATTAACCTCGACAGACGACAAGATTCTCGTCCAGATGGGCTCCGTTCGAGAGGGTCAAACCGAAGAAGAAAAAGAAAAATATCTTGCTGGTCTTAAAGAGATCATCAACGATTTACGGCGTGACAAGGTGAAAGATTTCAACACTGTGGCTTCCGAGATAGCCGCATACCGTAGGCGCTTCCTCCAAGACCCGTCACGTGTCTTGTCCCTGTAACATTCTCCCTCATTCATTGGACTCCTTGAGGGTCCTCTCCAGGTGAGCTGTCTTCCACCAATCTTGTGAACACCACCATCGAAGTACTTTCGATGGTGGGGGAAAAAAATCATCACATTACATGGACTCGGACAATCCTCGCCATGGCCATGACGCCATCCATCTTTCAATACGATATCCCATGCCATGGTCTTTTCAAGGCTTTCGCGCTCATGACCTGGCTTTTTCTCTGCATCATTAGCCAATCTCGCGTTTTCTTCCCTGCATTCCAATTGCATTTCATCTGCGCGATTGGGGGCCTCGCGTTCTTTGGGGCCATTTCTTTTCGTTTTCTTGTTTGATTCTAGGCTCTGGGCCTTTCATTGTCCAGCGACCCGGCAAAATGGTGTTACGGCGTCTACATCTCAGCTGCTCGTAACTTTGGCAGTTTCGGCAGTTTCAGCCCTGAGGGAGCTCTGACTACTGCTAATCTGCACAAGGCTCACGTTTCTCCCGGCTGCGGTTGTACCATTAGGATCTCGGCGGGTTCTCGCAGAACATATTCATAGCGCTCAGTCAATATGTATTTTTCCTATCCAACCGTTCTATTTTTGTAGGAATAAAATAACAATCACCCTGCAGTTTACCTGGATTATGTGCATAAGTTCTGAGTCAATCCATCACCCCTGTCCCTCTGAGAAACCTGGTAGAACTAGTAGAACTATTGACTCATTCATACATATGTACGTAGCCAACATGATACAACAGAAAAATTAAAATTAAAATACTCTGGACGAGGTTTTATCTGCAAAGAGCTAGACAACCCCAGATTAACCCAAATATGTTACATATTTTCAGCTGGGACCAACTGAGCTGAGAACTGCAGCAAGAAAGATCAAATCTTAAAAAAAACAAGCCCGGACCCATAACAGAAAGACCTCTTGAAACAACATGTGGGTGCGGTTGGTAGCTAAGTATAGCGTGCAGAGTCCGGGATGGGGGCCAGGGGCTAGGGTTCGTGCGACTGTTTCAAGATTCCAGAGATAATAATAGTAAAAGTGCACGGAGTATCAAGCATATGATGAACTTGATATTTTTAATATTCTTGCTTCTACCTTCAAGTCAATAAGCCATGAGAATTTTCCTAATCGGGAAACACATCTATACGAGTTGAGTCAGGACAAGGCGGACGGGATGTCTTGGATTCAACATATTCCTGCCTGATTGGCCCGGGGCTTGTTCGCTTTCGGTTATATTCCTATTTGTGTCGACACTGTATGTACAACCATGTCCTACAGCCATATATCCATCTCTGGGATGGGTCCCGCGCCCAGCGCCCGATAGTAAAGTAAGCGACCGGACAGCCCGAGGACCTTGGAAAGATTGGAAGAAGAAAACAAGGAAAGTGATAGGTGGGTTGTGTGGATAATGTAATTTGCGTCTACGCCAATTTACATATACGGGAGTCTGGAGCTGATGGGACAACAAGCGCGCACTTTCGAGGGGAAAAGCCAAGCAAAATGCGTCCGGGGCCAGCACAGCCTCAACGTCTAGAAAGTGCCCATGTGGGGGCTGCGACAATGACATCGGGATGGGAATAACATCATAGAACATGCCATAGGGGGCTGAGTCTATGTCAGATTAAAGAAATTAATTACTAAATAGGAGGATAAATAGTAAAAATAAGTAAAAGTAAGATGTTAAAGTAGCGGAGTAGCGGAGAACAAAAGTATAGACATGGTGTTTAGCTTCTGAGTACCACCGCTTTTTTACTATGAGCCATAGGGCTGTTTACTGCAGATACCAGGCCAAAGGAGCGGTAACAGGAGAATGTAAGTCTTGGCTTGCATACACCTGGGCATCAGCATGGTATGTCCATTTACGAGCCGCAAATGATTCCAACCAACCACGATGCTGGATTGATGTGAGGCTTTGAACAGGGGTTTGCTGCACGCCTTGAAGATCATGACTCTACAGCTTGGCAAATGATTGTAATAACCATAATATTGCATATTAAACAAAATGAAAAAGAAAGAAATGAAAAACATATTAAAATGAAAAATGAAAATTGAAATTGTCAAGGCAGAACAGGGCTGATCTGCCCTGGCCTTGCACTAAACCAAATCAGGAAACCGCAAGTATACAAATTCTAGTCTAACAAAAAAAAGAAAACAAAAAGCAGATAATACACCAGGATATATGCTCATGACCCATGACCCGCTTTGCATAACCAAAATATCATTCCAGAAAGAAGTTCACCCAAAAAAAGAAAACCAATAGTAGGGTTTGTAATCACTATTCCGCTGTCAGCTTCGAGAACCACCGAAATGCTGAGTGAGCATCGGAGTCACTTACCATTGTATTCGTAGCACGCTGTCTCGGCCCGCGAGACTCGGCGTTTTGAAAAGTCTCACTTGACATAGGTGCAATTGCCGCAGGCCATGTGGTTGCAGGATACGCATTGGGGTTGATGGTTGTAGATCTTAGGCCCGTCGTTGCATGCGCAGCAGATGTACATGTAGGTCTCGCTGTTGTACCGTGTTCCAGGTAGTGAGACCGATGAGATGTCTGTGCAGTCGGCCCGTAGAGGCCGTAGACCGGGAAGCTCTGGTACGACTATTGACATGGCTGTGGTCTTCAAGGTTGGGGTGCGAGGTGAGTCCATGTTGACGGCAGCTGGGTATGCAGAGGTTGGGTCACAGTTGTGAGAGTGGACGTTCATGTTGTCGGAGACCTTCTCGTCGAGGCAGCGAGCACAACGGACTTGTCCGCACTGGATGCAGGAGTCGTATAGAGAGGAGTTGTGAGGGCCGAAGTTGCAGCCGCAGCAGTACCACAGAGATGCCATTGATGTGATGAGTTGGATGGGTTGAATTGGTACAGTAGACAAGATGGTAGACAGGATGGATGTTGAAAGCAGAATCGAGTTGTTTATAGTTGTAGCGGAAAGGCCTGGTTTGATACTTGGTTGGATGTTGATTGAGTTTGTGAATGGAATTAGATTTGAGCATGGGATTATTGGAAAGCTATATATCGTGAAGAATTACAATTAGACGTAATAGAACCCAGAAGCGCAAGGCAGCGTTCCTTGAACAGTCAACAGCCCAGGCTGCCTCGCGTTTCCGTATTGGGTTAAGCTAAAATTCTTACCCGGGCAGTCATTGGGGCGATGGGTGAACAACGTCCTAGTTGCACATCATCCGGGGAGATGGGTTGCCCGAGGGCGTGGCTTAGTGTAGGGGCTCTGTCTAAGTTGCGTCTAGAATGTAAGGAATGTATGATTCATTTCTTGAAGACCCGGCGTTTTGAGTCAACGGGGCCCACTATTCTGGGCTAAGCAAATCCTCACACCGTCTCGAGTTTACTGGCTTACCCGGGAGAATGTATGGGCCTTAACGGGTTCTGGTAGCGCGGGTGCCCCGAAATAACGGTCTACATTCGGCGTCATAAACTAGAATGCCTTTTGCGATTGATGCCTTGAGAAAAAAATGAATTCGATCAATTGGTTTTCACGGCGCGCCGTATACTCCACTCTTCCCTATTTTTCCAGGCAACGGCAGCTTCGAAAACCAAAATAAAGAGTCATCGGTAGTCAGGTGTCCGCCCAGCACAGTGTTGCCTAAGTCACCCAGGCTCGGGTTTCTGATACCTGGGTATGAAAAAAAAAATGACTACGTTTCATCATTGTTGTTTAGGAATATTTAATTTTTCGTGTTCAACAAATCACGAGATGCCGTGAAACCTGAAAGCTGATTTCTAAATTAAATTCTCACCCGTAGACCCGCGGAAATCCCATGCCATGTGGTTTTTTCTACTATATCGAGTTTCTATTGAGTACCCAGTCAAGATCTAGAAAGAGAGTGATGAGGTGATCTGACATTACTAGGGCTTATCTGACGGTCGCAGCTGAGATATAGTGAGTAATAGTAGACCAAGCCACCATTTCCCGTGTCAACATAGTAGCTGAGTAGAAGTGTAATATGCTGCAGTTCTCAAGGTCCTCCCGGTCCATTGGGCCCCCCAGGAACAGCCCAGGGCTGGAGACGGGTGGGTGGACACGAACTCCGATTACGTCAGGTTTGCACTGTTTGATTCAACCTTGTCTGCTCGAATCCGGGTTGCAAACCCCCCCCCAGCTTTTTATTCTAAATTCATGCATTTGATATTATTGTATTGATCCCGTGTATATGGCGTCCCCCGCGCAGAAGCGCGTCAACGTCGTGGTATCCAGGCTCATCCCGCCTGTGTTACTCGGCGCTGTGGTATACGCTTCCTATGCGGTCACGAAACCATTATGCAGTGAGTTTCGCGCAAATCTGGTCGAGAACTTCATTATCAAGAAATTAACGATGTGAAACCTAGTTGACTACTTAATTCATCCGTTACCTTCCCATAATCGAGGCCCGCGAGTCGGTGCTGGCGCCGCGATCCTCGCGATCTATTACGTCCTTTTAATCCCCATGGTCGTTTCATACCTACATCTTTATTATCGTGTCCTATGGAATCCTGGATATCTTCCCCTTGGCGAACAAAAAGCGGCAGATGATGAGAGCACAAAACAGTGGAAGCGTCGTCGTGGGAAAAAAAGCACGCGCAAACCCGATCTGGAGAAAACAAACCAGGCAGACACGGATGTGGAGAGAGGCTCGAGCTCCACTGCTGTAGGCATCGCAGTTCAGTCAGATGTTTGGTTAGAGAGCTTCTACACCAAAGATGTTTTTGTCTGCCAGGAGGACGGCCGGCCCCTGTGGTGCTCCACGTGCTGTCAGTACAAGACAGATAGGGCGCACCACTGCCGCGAGTTAGGCCGCTGTGTGCGCAAAATGGATCACTATTGTCCTTGGTATGATAGAACCGTGCACCTTACCAGAAACCAGTGTCCAGCTAACAGGATGCAGGGTTGGAGGTGTGGTGTCGGAGACATCGTTCAAATTCTTCATTCAATTCGTTACTTATACTGCTATTTTCTGCACCTTTGTTCTTATCGTGTCCGCTTATTTCACGGCGGAGATCCGACGCGAGGTGAGACTTCCTTGAGCCACCATACTAACTCACCGAGTGCTTGTTACTAACCTTTCAACCAGACCGGAGGAGTAAACCCCCACTGGTGTGTTTGCATTGGACTGTAAGTGCCCACCCACAAGATACTAGGAAATTCACAATCTGACAACCCTCACCAGGAGCGGCTTGTTCGCCTTCTTCACCGCCGGAATGACCTTGAGCTCAGTTCAAATGGCCATCTTCAACATCACCACAATTGAAAACCTAAACCGGCGCACCGCCGTCTGGACCCTTGCCATCCGTGTCCCAGAATACCTCCTCGAGCGACTGTGGGCAGCCGAATCCCCCTGGGCCCCGACCTTCCGCATGGTCTCCTACCCATTCCAAACACCGTCATCTCCCAACAGTCCGCAAACAACAGTAAACCAGGGCGAACGCCACGTTTTCGCCATCCTCCACACTCTGCCCGGCGAGAATCCCTTCGACCTGGGCAGCCCATTGAAGAATTTCCAGCAAATCATGGGATACAATATCGCTGATTGGCTGCTGCCAATCAAGCAGAGCCCATGTGCTGATCACAGTAGCATGGAAAGTCATTTTGCCATGGGACCTGTGGTGGCCCGCTTAAAGCTTGAGGCTGGACTGGCCCCACCCAAGAACGGGGCTGTTCCACAATCCCCACCTTCCGGGCATAGCCACCGGGAAAAATCTCCTAGCGATCAATAGTTCGGGGCGTTTGGTTTACTTGCATATTTTGGATACCTTTATAATTAATGCATGCCTCCACTATACACATTTTCATTGGCCTGACCTAGCTATGTCAGATTATTATTTTATCCGATAGGCTGGAGGGCACCGCCGGGCAACCGTAGGGCTGAATGTCGGAGTACAGGCCTCCCAGGTCAGCTGTTCCTTGGCCTCTTCGTACCTGAAACTCGGGCAATTGGATGGTAAATAAACCACTCAAAAGAGAGGGATTGGGCCACAATAGTGTGTTCTCCCAGTGCAATTCAAACTTCCAGGGCGTTTAACTCCGTGGTCTTTTCAATCTTCCCTTTGCCACTCATGTTTATACGTGGATAATCCAATGATATCACCTGGGCGCCGGGGCATCCATGTCTCGTGATATTGATTATTACTGCGCTATTTAAACCACTGTAGAGAATAAATAGAGTGCCTGGAGAAAATGTTCCCTCCAATTAAATTTCAATATATATATAACGCAAAGCCAGTAGGATGTAGGATATACAGGAGTAGTTTATACTGCTAAATGAGGCTAGCGGAATCCTTGGCCCCCAATTATCCCGTCCATAGCTCTATATTTGAGCATAGGCAACTATATATGTCTTTGAATCTGACCTTTCGTATCTGGTGCCCCGTCGGTAGCCCTACCAGTTTGACAATCAAACAGATTCTCAGAGAAACCAATATCTTCGTTGATGATCTATCGTCTTCGTAAATACAATTACTACTATCTTGAAATAAAAGAACATCTATTTACCTTACTGGTGTGGTATAGCATACTTTATATATCAAGTGGACGCGATATATATCTTTGGTTATCCTAAACTATCCCCGATTCTAAACAAAGATTCTAAACAAATAACTACCTATATATATCCCTTACACCGCTCTCAAGCACAAGTAGAGTCCGTTTAGGCAGGCGAGTCGTTCATATCATCCCCACTATGTCCGAATATTATCCAGAAGGCAACCGTCTATAGTATATCGCCCAAGGCCCCAAGATACGACAATACCCAATGACAACAAACAACAGAACGACCAATCAAAAAGAAAAAGAAACAAGAAATATGACAATCAAAAGGCAACGAAAGCAAATAAAGGAAACCAAACAGACTAAAGCCCAATCGCTCAAAACGTCACAACAAGTTCCGGTACGATCTAGTCCAATCTAGGGAACATTCTCTGTGCTGCAGGAGTCACACGCAGTATGCTCGCAAATAGAACATTTCTCCGGCGCCAGACTGGGATTGACCAGATTGCTGCACTTGCAGCACCTCCGCCATTCTGGCACCAGTCTTGGGGTGCCGGTAGACAGGTAATTGGGTGCAAGGGCGAAAAAGGACATGGCATCTTGGGACGGAGCCAGAGTTGATCGTGCACGAGATATTAGCGGGCTGCTCGTGGGATCGGCATAAAAGGAAACGTTAGGCTGGGCCAAGTGCCAACCATGCGAGAGAGTTGAATCATGTTCTTCGCTGTCGGTCTCGGTATTCGAGAAATTGTTGGAAACGGTGTTGGGCACGACGTAGGCAGACATAGTGACTTGAAATCTCAAATAGATAAATCAATTGGTAGAAGATATAGTTTGATCTGCGATATCTTGACTTTGAACAAGTTGGTTGAAGGATTGAAACTGTCAATAGAGTTATCTGAAGCAATCTGATATTTGATTGTATGAAACAGAGTGAGAACATCCAGAATCCAGCTCCGGGGGGCTTTTTGTATATCGTAGCGCCGACAGACAGGCGCCCGCAATCAGGGCTCCCATCACACCCACGAAACCAAGTAGAAGGCCGCCCAAAACCCGTAAACAGGCGCGATTCAAATGGCGAAAGGCCACGACTACAGGGTAGAAAACCCCAATGCAGAGTGTAGAATACCCAGCGGGTAAAGAGGTACATCGAACAGCAGTCGGCAGTGCTTAAGCAGGAGTGAAGCGAAAGCAAAACCAACCAGAGCTAGAGAAAACAGCACGGCGGCACACGTCTAATTAACAGTGGCATATTCACCCGCGACCCGGGTCGTGCTCGACCCAGCACTGCGCCTAGCAGTCCACGGCTTGGGCACCGGGGCATCGAATTTCATAGTGGGACTCGGGGATAGCAGGAACTAAAACCTCTAGTAATTAGCGCTGGTGTCAGTTACTGGGCACACGCCGTCTTCGGAGGGAGTCGGATAACGATGGGGGGTGTAGTCGCATCGCACATCTTCCACATGAGGCAGGTACTATATTGAAGGTGAGGTGTCTAGTACTGGGTGGGCGGGTGGAGTCATATCCCGCTCTGCAACCACTGGATTGTTAGGCGTTTAGTTGCAGTAGTCCGGACTTCTGTTTCGTGCGGGTTCCTTGTGCCGGGTCTGCGCCTCGGTTGGGGCGTCTGGCTCCATACATTTTCCCGCGGGTGTGGGGTGAATCGGAATGGGTGATTTCGCCCTGCTTAGTGGACTTTGTTCGCCCTGCTCACTAGCTCTTACGGATTGCTTTAGTTTTCTTGAGATGATGTACGCCAAGGCAGTATACACGTAGTTCTCGTTATTCCTGGGAAGAATATCACCTGTGGGTGGTATGGGTGTGTGTGTTTGTCTGCATAGCCTCTGTGTGGGCAGCGAGGTGGTAAATAGTAAAATTAGGTTTGTACTTCAAAATTCATAAGGTGTGACCTTTTGTGGAATTAACTTTGGTTAGTTATAAACTTTGGTATTAAAGTACCTACCCAGGTACCAGTTGGAAAGAAGTACGGAGTCTCTCGGTGAGATTGGGAGTACCTGTGGAGATTACCCAATTGGATACCATAGAGATAGATTGGTTTAATAATACTCCAGACTAAAGATCAGAACAGTTAAATTCCTTTTAAATGGATGTTCGGTGAGGTCAAAAGCAACATTGGGAAAATGGTTGGCTAAACAGATATTAGGATGCTTCCCTCTATCACCTCATTCCCTCAATTTCACAGCCTATATGGAGTATGTTGTTGCTGGTCCTGGCTACGAAAAGACTACACTATACCACATAAGCGGCTGAGATGTAGAGTAATAGTCAAAAAAATGGGTATAGAAAAGTAAGATTCGAGAAATTTATACCCAGTTTTCAAGAAAACAAATAAAATCAATAAAATTCCTTGCACGATGGGGCTCAAGTGATTTGACAAAGCACAAACTTACTGGGCGAAACATAAATGAAAAGGAGGCTCTGAGTGTTGTGCATATGGGGAAGCAAGGGAGTTTCCATAGTTTCCATAGTTAAAAGCGCGGGGAGCACATGTTATCCATGGTTGGGAGTTTCAGTTTCCAAGGTTCATAATTTTATAATCCATGGAATCTATATTTATATACAAAACCTTCGAATGTTTATGTTTTCTATTTTTGTTCTCTTTGAAACTCTTCTTAAACCTCGTTAATATTGGGAAATTCCCTTGGCATTCTTACTAACCTTTTGTCAAACCCCCCCCAACCCACTTTTGCGTCATTGTTCACACGTTTCATTTTTAACACTCTCAATCCCCTCCATTGTTTAGTTGGGCAACTATTGGGCTCTGGGATTTGTGTCAAAGTCGGCCCCTCTAATCTCCTAGACTTTTGACCGAGTCTTTTCCTCCGAGCCAACCGACCAGGTTGGGCATTTCTACAAAGCCCGACTCGGATTCTTAAGTACTGCCCCGAAGCCGACCGAAGACTGTTACACCTGATCATAAACTGGCAAGGCGTTGCCATCATCTATATCCACCGCATCTACAGTGTCTCAGAATGTCGAGTCACTACAGGAATCTGTCTCCCAGCCGAGGCCGGCACTCCATGGTTGATCCCATGAGAGCTTCCACCGGCATGGTGCAATTAAACTCATCCTACGACCCTTATGATGCGCCCAGGCGCTATGATTACGATGACTACCCGTCCGATACTGGATATGCCAGTGCTTTTGGGTACCGCTCAGGGCGACCATCGAAACTCGAAGCACATCAAATATCCTCCCATCGAGTCCATGATCCGACTGCGTCCGCCAAAAAGCGTACCGAATACAGCGTGCAGCCCCGCACCAGGCATAGAAGCCACACATCGACGGCAGCGGATTACGAGACACCAGTGCGTCTAGCTGTACCTTCCAGCTCCCGTCAGCATCTCTCGCCCGTGCACCACTCAACCCACCGGCGTACCCTAAGCCCTATTCCCACAGATCCCGGCCAGCATATGGTACCTGCCGCTCCTCGGCATCCCGCACATCGCCGAATCTACAGCACTGACTATGCGAGTGACACCGGTCACATCGACCCACGAAATGATGCAAGACACAGGACTGACCACAGTGCGCATCACCACCGTGTTCATCCACCGACTCGCACACGCTATCCAGCGTACGACGGGCTGAGGAAAGGTGATGACATAGATGACTTCGATGCTTATTCATATACCAATGCTCGTGAGCAATTCGACCGGGACTACCCTGTCAAGCCGCGCCCTCGCGGGCCGAGATACTCGCTGGACCGGCCGCTCAGTATCACTGGCGCGGAAGACCCCCAGTGGACAGCGCGGAAAGAACGTCATCACGGCCCACCCCCAACATCCTGGGGCCTTGATAAGCTGGGCCGTGAACGGCCAAGAAGCTCAACATATGGCAAGGATGACTATCGGGAGCCGCACAGATCCAAGGATGGATTCCACGATCAAGCCCTGGTTGCTGTACCGCAAGACTCTGATGGTGAATATCCCTCTCGACACGACGAACGCCGCCGCCGCCGCGCCCACAGAGCGCGCCGTTTGAATGATCGGGAGCCCCACTATCTAGAAGAATACCACGCCCAGCCACATGACAATGGCGAACTCCCAACCGTAGGGCTTGGAACAGCGGCCCTGGGAGGCGGGTATTCCGACATGTCCGACTACGAACACCACCGTCCGTCGCGACACAAGTCCAGGCGCTCACACGGCGGTCATGACCACGATGCCGTCCAGCCCCCATCGCGGGAGCTGGTAGAAGCAGTTCCAGCCGATGAAAGAACCAAGCAGGCCTACTTGGATCCCGCTGATGCCCGCCGCCACGGTCGAACGCGACGCCACTCCCGTCGGCGGACGCACAGCGATTACGCCGACACGTCAGATGAAGACCTGCGAAACTACAGACGAGAGCCCGCACGTCGCAGGCATAGCCTCACCGACACTGAGAGTGACCGTGACTACGACCGCGACCACAGTCGGGATCGCTCGCACCAGAAGCGAGACCGAGACCACTCGCGTGGATACCGCTCTTCTCGCTCCCACCGTGCTCTGGAGGATGGCCACGCTATTGAGCCGCGACGATCGTCCCCGGCCGACATGGAAAAAGATGATCCAAGAAGATTTATTGCTGTCGAACCGGCTGCCCCAAAGGAGCCTGACGCTCCCCCAAAGGGAATCCTCAAGGCACCACGCCCGGCATTTCCAGAAGAGCCCAATCCAGTGAGGGAGGGGGTCGCTCCTCTTAAAGACGCTCATAAGCAGGGGATCCCACCCGGAGCTCGGTGGACGAAGATTGACCGGCGGCTCGTGAATCCGGAGGCATTGGAAGCGGGCAATGAACGGTTCGAGGAGCGGTCGGATTATGTGATTGTGTTGAGGGTTCTGAGCAAGGAGGAAATCCAGCAGTATGCTGTAAAGACACAGGAGATTAGAGGTAAGTCACCTTGTCTATTTTCAAAGTCACACTTGAAGCAAAGTGCTCACAATTGAATTACATAGACACTCGACACAAGGAACAGCTACGCGACAGACGCAAATCCAGAGATGAGACCCAACGCCACGGCCGCCGAGGCGAGGAGTCTTCTAGCGACGATGAGGACGAGGGCGAGGAAGAGCCCTGGAAGCAGCTCGAGGCGGCCGCTGCACCAACCGCACCGAAGATGTCCTTGCCGTCGCGTCCACGCGTGTCGACCAACTCCACGCATGAGGCTGAAAGGCCTAGAATGAGTAACCCGTCTGCTACGCTGGTATAGGAGAATCTTTCAATCTAGACTTGGATATGCCTCGCAGTGCGAGCTAGACTCGCACCCGTTGAAACTACAATGACGTTCGCCCCGTGCATAGGGGCGTGGAAACCGTCGGTTCCCATGTTGTCTCTAAGAAATGTAACTAATGCACCTATCCTTCTGGGGACGGAGACCATGCGACAAGCCCCTGCAGGCAACAGCAAACGCCCGTTCGATTTATCTGGCTCCTAGGGTACTCCCAGCGTACCCCATACAAATCCATCTCAAACTCGAGTCATCTCTTTCTCTCTTTTAGGTCATCTCAGGCTTACACCGCTTCCACACAAGCCATGACTCTCTTGTATGCACTCCGTACGCACCTGTCATATTGTTTGACAGGATGTCCAAGATCGACAACGCCTCCGCATGCAGCGCAACACGCCGCTGGTTTCTTTCCGAGCCAATCAAGCTCTGGTGTTTTTGATTGCGGAACCCAACGATGATCAGTCGCTAGGCCACCCGCGATCCACCATACCTATCGCCAGCCATATTTGACCATAATGCAAGTCTCGCTCAGAGCCGCGCAGCTTATTGGATGGATTGGCATGTCATTTTTTTTCTGTCCTCCCATGAGCTGCCTTTTCAGCTTTTGTGTTACTCTTGCTGGGTTAATATGATGGGGTCTGGATATCTTGTCATATTATTACGTCCGGGAAGAGGGAGATAAGAGTCTAGGGCTGGGATTCTCCACTTCTAGATGTTTACTTCTTTTATTCCCAAGTTGGAATGTGCATCTGCACCTATGGAGAGCACGAGAGCGCTAAGGAAATGCAAATCAAGCGCCCTTCCTAAAAGCGCAAGAGGGGAGCAAAAAGCAAATAACACCACGCCTGCGAATGTAATTGTGTCAGGATGCAATGTTTTCTTTTTTTGTTTTTTCTCTTTTTTTCCCCCTCAGTGCAGGGAGTACCTAGTGTTTGTCCATCCCGGGAAATTATCCAACAGCGCCTAAATTCTAACCCTATTCTATGGCTAATTACCGGAAAAAGAAAATAAACTACCAAACCCACTGGGGAAACAGACTGTAAAAAAGTAGAAATAAAAAAAAAGGGGGGGAACATATGTAGTTGCATTGTGGCTGCAGGTTCTAGACATACGCCACTGGCAAACAATTAGGCAGTCTTTTGTCGGATTTCGCCGGTACTGGAGATTGAAATTGAGGCATAAAATTGTACATATATTTCTAATCAAGGTGCTGACGGGATATGAGTAGATTTAATATACGTAGTTATACGCACTGGCATTTTATAAATGAGCTACAACATACCCCTCCCCTGTTGGAGGCTCGTCCCGCCTATTTCCTCTTATTGTTAGCTTGCAATTTGCCCGGGCGAATAGTAATTAATGGAGTAAATATAGGCCAAGACATGGAATCCATGGTTATAACTTCATATGTACATATTGCACCACTAGTAGATACCAGTGGTTGTTTATGTATAGTGTAAACGGATATTCTACCCAAATGGTTATAGTGTTACAGATTGGATCAAGTCGGAGACATTCTCATCACAACCGAATAGTCGCCGAGGCTATAAAGTGTATACGTATGCTATCTGCGCCATTTAATGTAAACAAAAAGATCATTGTACATAGTACATAGTTCGTTGTAGAGCACTGCTATACTGCATACTACAAGTACTCCATACTCCATGCTTCTACGATGTACAGCTACTGTGGAGGTACTGCGTACTCCGTAGAGTCATCCGGACCCCATAAATGAGCTCACATCCGATTTGCGAAGTGGAGTTCACCATTACCTGTTAATGGAGATGAAACCGGCAATCTATGCGCGCGAGTCATGGGTGTGGCGAGGGAGAGGGGAAACTCCACCTGGAGAAAATGTATAAGCTAAAAGCTATGTTGGAATCTCGAAAGCCGATCATATGAATTCAAATCAAGGAAGGTGGAGAGAGCTTGTTTCCAGACCTCGGGCTCTTGGGTCTGTGTGTTCGGGATGCTAATATTATTTTCAGTTATTACAAGGGAATTGTCCAATCTGATGTCTTTCCTCGTAAGTTCATATACAGTGCTTACGTTGTGGAGATGAGGAAGAACGTGCTGATCCGATCTCTTACTAACGTCATTGATTTCTAACCCTTTCCGTAACTCCGTTTTCCATATGGAGTCTCTCCGATGATTATGATATCAGCCAAACCGTGGGGCAATATGCGTATCAAGAAATGTCTGAGATCGTCGCACATGGGGGGCAAAAGCTAAAAAGCAAACATAAACGTGCTCACTTGACCCGATACATCTGACCTTTACCCTGTGTTAATGGGGTAAGTTACCATCTACGTACGGAGTATTCCGTATATTGTAATAATTATCATTGAAGAGCTTGTTATAGGATGAAAATGACAGGTTTCAAGTCTTATTCCCTGATCTGACGTAGGATACAGGGATAGCTACGAGATCTAAGTGAACGTAGTCGATCAAACGGTGTGCGTACCTATAATTGCCGAATATATGACTGGTCACCGGTATTGTAATTATATCTGCAGCAATCAGCCTCGAAAGTTTCAATTTGGAAATTTGCTGAAGATAACAGCTGAAACAATCAAATACGGCCACGCGATACCATGCAGGTGTTAAAACAACTTCCACATGGGATGGCTCACAAAGTTTTTCTTGCGGTGAGAACTAACTTTTGAGTATTTTTGGCTTTGGGCTAGAAACTTCTTAGAAACCGGTAAACTAAAACTTTTGTATATCACATATGTTGTATATTGTAGTTATAACTACAAAAGAATCATGTTTACATTTTACATTTGGGCACACATGGTACCAGGTATCGGACCCCGGGTTATGATCTTTCCCCGATTGCCCACGGCTTTTGGCGGCTGGGGCCGGAGTAAACCGGCCTAATTTAGCGCTGCACAAAGTACCGACGAGAACTCGGTTAAACAAAAATATTCGCACGTTCCAAGCTCTATTCGGAGCCGGATGGTGGGGCCGTTAAACGATCTATCCACCTCTCTTTACATTCAAAGTAAAGTAGAAAGATCGGAGAGACCGATGCAACGTATTTGAATTGTTCTTGGGTTTATCATTTCCTCTTCTTGTCATCCCGCTTAGACCATATCCGTCTTAGGGGTGAGAAATGGGTTTTTACTTTTTCTTAGGTAAAGTTTGAAGGAATATAAAATTATAGGCTGATCCTTCAAGGGAAGCCGTTATAGCCCTGGGGCAGATCATTGCAGACTAAGCAGACTAAGCAGGGTCAATATCCGCATGGATAAAAAGACCAGGGTACGACAACTTTAATTTCAGAAATAATTTATGAACTTAATTCATCGCCAAGGGGGCCAAGACCTATCAAGACTTCTCTGACTTCCTTCGTACTCTGTACGATAGCCCGACCCGCGATCGACTAGTTTGTGGCCCCTCAATTGCCCCGTGTCTCTATGTGCCCATACTCGGGGCCGAGCGTCGATTCAAATCGGACATCGGTATAGACAGTCTGCCGAGCTCCGATATGTATCTCCCCGGAGCTGGAAGTTAAAAATTTCGCGCAGTATAGATTTAGGGGGGGGATAGGGTCTGCATTGATAGCCGCAAGGGTGACCCAGGTCAACGTGGACGTCGGTGCTTCTTTAAACTTGGTTTGCATGATTCTTCTGTCGATCATAAAATTCAAAAGAATCGAGCAGACTAAAAGATCACGGAGGATTCGGATATTTCTGCTTTGGGGATTCAGTTCCGGAATATAAATATGGAGTGCTTTTATCTACTTCTAGTTTGTTGGCGCTAGATGGCGCGCTTGAACTTACATTGAATATCGAGGTCATTCCACGTTCAAGCCCCAAAGATATGACTAGCTTCTCTTGCTTGATCGGGTTTAGGGTTCAGTCACCCGCATGAGAGATGAAAAGCCCAAATCCAAACGGTGTTACCTTTTCGCACAGGCCCTTTGTCTGGAGATGACGCACACCTATGGATCGACAGATCGAGACGGGAGACCGGCAAAGGAAATTATATTAAGCGAAGGTTGCTAAATGTAAACAACGAAGTAGTCGATCCGGGGCGGTAGTGGCACAATTTAGAGCGAAAAAGGGGGCCAGGATTGTCGGTTGATCCGCCCAGGGGTTGGTTCGTCCCCGATAGCGTCCCCGGTTTAACCCTTGTGTAACAGTCTTTTGGTCGAGATTGAGATGGGAAAATTTTTGACATATCTACAGTACCTCATGCCATTACGGAGTCCGCATGGACCATGTGGGTCATAATAATATTATTTTTTTCCAAGTTGAATCTTGGAGACTCAATGTGGGACTGCGGGTACGGCTTAACGGAAGACCGCGGGATCATCGATCATAGAATACACCAATAGTAGTCTTTGGTTGAAAATGGCACCGCTTCCTTAGAAAAGAGGGAGAAAAAAAAGGGGGGACTAACCGTGCACTTGTTTTTAGCTCCAACCTTCAAGTCTCGAGTTCTGCGAATATTCCCGTATTGAACAATTGTAAAAGTCGTGCATGTCTTTATTGTGTGGACGATCCAAGGACTAGCCTGATTCTGGAAGTAGTCTACAGTAACATGTTGTTTTTAATTAATTAGATTTCTTGCTAAACCTCCGAAGTTGGATTTTCTGTACGCCGTAATTTCTTTATGCAAAGTCACTGCGCACCAACATTCTGTTTTGACATAGAGCCTCAGCCGAATTACCCGTTTCTTGGGTTTACGAGAATACAACCCTGGAATTTAAAATAAAAAAGTTAAAATCTTTCTATATCAAACTCACGTTACCTCCGTTAGTTTATCCACTCATGTCTCAAGAGGTATAAAGAAGGGTACAAAGGGACAGGGATAGCCGAATATAAAAAAAAATTAAATTAAACCCAATCGAGAGTATAGGCAGAAACGGGTGGCTAGCCAACTTAGCGTGGCTATTTTCACATGAAGTACAGGGGTAAAACAAATATGTTGTATATAAAAATGCTTGAAAAGGGTTCAAGTGTTATGCATCACTGGATGTTAGCAACCGGAGGAAATTGGGGAAGAGAGGGGAAAAGGCTGGGGGCTTGCATCTATGTCTTTCCCTTTTCTCGCTTTTCTTTCTCTTTCTTTTTGAACGGATCAAAAGAAATGCCAAGATTGACTAAGATGCCACTAGATTAGTTCCGGGATAGAGCGAACCCGGGTGGAGGCCCGCATCCTTGAGTGAATCTCAACTCGATTGGCTATTATTACAGCATTGATACTCTTCTAGCATTAGCGTCCAAGAAAGGGACTCGATCATGTTCAAGGATATAGACGCGTATGGAGTTGAGAGGGGGGTCCTTTTTCCCCTCGAATCTCTAGTCAAGCATCTATAAACAGTGCGGAGTACTCCGTACTCCGGACTGGTTCGTGGGATCGACCTGGGACAGAGTTACACGGGTCCCACATAAACCGGTCAAAGAGAAAAAAAAAATAATGATGGGCGCCGTTAGGCTGTTTCGAGTTTAAAGAGTTGGATTTTAGACAATTGGGCCGTGGAAAGAAGAGAGATTCGGTGTAACTTACCCAGTACGCGTCAAGGGAATTTTCATTCATTTACTCTTTTCAAGTATTATTCCGCCGATCTTCGATATACTCCGACAAAAAAAATATTTCTCAGCCCGAGCCGTACCTGAAACTGACCTGTGCACGATCCGAGAGCAACGTCAACTAGCTCACTTTTAGCCTCGAAGTCCCCCATCCCGAGGTCCACACGCCAATCTTCATGGGCCAAGTATTCTAGACTTTGTGGGTCATTGGATTCGATCTGAAAGCAAACGGATTTTGCTGTTGCCCCGTTGTACTATTATAGTAAAAGGGTCAAACTTCTACATATGGCCCCCCCTCTTTTTCTTTTATATTTTATATTAGCATTGACATGGAATTACTCAATCACAATGCCTGAAAAATTCCTTATAAAATGAATGGACGTATCACGATCCCTCCACTAAATCCGAGAAGACTCAGCCGTTGAAATCCCCCTATAGATTCAACCTGCACATCCTTTCCCCACTCGCACGTCTCTTTGTCTGCACATCATCCCCAAGCGTCTATTTCTCTCGCTCTCGGCTAGATGACACATTTAATTTTAAAGCTCGGATGTTTACCGGACTCGAGTTAATCTCCTGCGTCCATCCTGGTCATTATTACACCACTTTCCCGCTAGTTACAAGATCCTGATACACTTTGTTCCTAGAGGTCTTCATTTTATTATTATTTTTATTCCATATTGGGCTTTTTCTTTTTTCTTTTCTTTTTTATATTTCTATTTCCTTTCCTTTTTTTAAAGTATTTTTTTCTTTCTTTTAATCTTGATATATTTTTCTTTATAATTTCGTTATTTTTTCGCTATTTTTTTTTTTTTTTAGGACCCTTCTCCTCCGTACTCTAGTTCTCTTTCTTCGAGGCCCTCCGAGAGGAATAAAATAAGAATGGACGCATCTAAATAAACGACCCTGGACCCTCCACTTGCCTTCACATTGAACACGGCCCCCTGAACCCCAGTCACCTAGTGTGTCGCGCAGCTCTTGTTAAGCCTCAGTTCGGGATCGCCCTCGTGGTTTCACTTTACCTTTTTGCTTTTTCTTTTACCTTCGCTTTCTCCCAAAAGGAACCCTATCCCAGTTCTTTCTTTCTCATTCTTGTACTCTTTCCAAGTTTTGCAAGATTCTATCCTGGGCCGTGAGAGAGGTCGTTCATGACCGGTATGGTACAGCCCGACCTTGGTCCTCCAGCGACGAAGTACAAGGAAGATCCTATTGACGATCCCGTGAGTATCATTTCATATTACCTGATCTCTTTCCTTTTCAATTTTCCCTATAGATTCTGTGAGATGTTTCCTACTTCAATATCATTCCTATCTTTCTATGGTTTCTATATGTGACTGCCAGCTCTATGTCCAATGGGGCGTCCTCTCGACACTTGGTCTACGATTTTGGATTCTTATCTCGACTTTTCTTTCATTACAAATTGGTGCTCTGGATGATCAGAGTCGAGAAGACAGCCAACTCAGGATGCCTTGGAACCAATTTGGGTGGAACTCCCATTTGTATGCATCTCTTCTGGACCCACCAAGCCCTACTCCGACTAGAGCCTCACTTCGGCCATACCAAAATCGTTTCAATTGAGAGCAAAACAAATTGCCTAAAGTCCGTGTAGCGGCTTGCGACTGCTATCTACATGATTCAGCTTTGGAGTGCTTTGTCACTTCGGGAAAAAAAAAGCCTAGCGATATCAAGGACACACGAACGCTACACAGATCCATGCTATTCTTTAGTCCTGGACGGACTATCCCGGCTATACCTTGGCCCATTTGTTACGCATAGGACAATCCCTGTTCGAGGATTACCATCTGTGGCCCAATCCAATCCCTCGCCTATATGATGAGATTCTGCATACCTGCAAGATTCAAATTTCCACGCTAGACTGGAGAGGTCATACGCTGATGTCACTCCGGACACTGGCTGTGTTTACAAGTTCCTTTTCTTTCTTTCCTATGTCCACGTTCTCAGCTTGTAGCACCGTCCATTTTCTGACTCGAATCTTGCTTATCGTATCTTGCTGGCAACCTTTCCGGGCTGACTATTGAAGTCCCACTGATGTGTGTTTTTGTTACAGCTTCGACACGGCAACTCTGGTCGTCCCGGTTCTCAACCCTCTCAGACCTTACAACCTCGACCAAATCTAGGACAGAAGGAAGGCCCTGCCTCGCCTGTTCAGCCCTCTCTTTCTATTACTCCTACCACATACCCTCCATCCCATCCACTAGGAAACGGAGCCCTGCACCATCATAATCCTTACGGGCCGCCACCTCAGGAATCGTCCTACTACCCCACCCATTCTCCCTATACTACGACCTCAGCGTCGACACATTACCCTTCTAGTGGTAAGCCTTATTTCTTCTTTTTTAGTAGTTGGAAGTCGTGAGCGTCAAGAATAAGCACACTACTGGTGTGCAGCTTTCTTCATGCTTTCGTGCATCCATTTCATTCCCTCGAAGACATTAACTAATCAAGGAATAGGGCCACCTGAACACATGGCATCTACCGCTCAAATGCAGAGACCTTATCCCTCTATTTACCACACCCCGCAATCAAGCTCACCAGCATCGGTAGCTTCTCAACCCCACGAACAACATGGCCGCAATATGTACTCGCAGTCACCACAGATGCCACCGCAGATGTTTGGCTATCCCCCATATTCGCCCATGAACCCTGGTCAGCCCTCGCCATATGGACATCATTCTTCCCAGCATCCTCTCACTACACAACCATTGATGATGCCCCCTCAGAAAGCCCCATCCCAGGTGCCACCACACCAATCCCCCCACCCAACTTCCAGCATGTCTACGAGCCCCATCATGAAACTCGATTCCTCCCAGCATCCCACAACCCCACAGCAAACAATGCTGAATCCTCCCCTTCCGGCAACCAACAGCCACGCAATGTCTGCCAGCAACCCCCACGCAAGCCCACCACTGAGCGGCACCACATCCAGCGCGGCACCAGGCCCCATCCCAGCCACTACTCCGCTAGTCGTGCGACAAGACAGCAATGGCGTGCAGTGGATCGCCTTCGAATATTCCCGAGACCGGGTGAAAATGGAATACACCATTCGGTGTGACGTGGAATCTGTCATCGTGGACACGCTCTCGCAAGAATTCAAGACGGAGAACTGCGTGTACCCGCGCGCCTGTTGCAGTAAGGACCAATATCGCGGGAACCGGCTGGTCTATGAAACAGAATGCAATGCTGTCGGCTGGGCATTGGCCGAGTTGAACCCTGCTCTGAGGGGCAAGCGTGGATTGATCCAGCGTGCTGTCGATAGCTGGCGCAACAGCAATCAGGACCCGAGACTGCGCAGCAGACGTGTTCGTCGTATGGCTAAGATTAACCGAAGACAGTCGGTCCCCGCTCAGCCTGCTCATATGGCACAGCAAGGCCCTGGCTCAGGTGGTCCGCCTGGTCCTAGTATGAGTGCTATGCCGGCTCCTGCTCCCCGCCCGAGTTTGGGTCCCATTTCAATGGGTCCACCCCAGATGCATCATCACCATCAACCTGATGGCAGTCCTAGTGAGGAAGTTAGCGGTATGTTTCACCACATGTGATGCTTCGTGCTTTGCTCCCTCAAAGTTTTTTTCTTCTTTTTCTTCTCTTTTTCTTTGTTTTGTCTCTCCTTTCTTCTCTTCCCTTTTTTTTCTTCGCAACGAGCGGCGGGATCACTCATGTATTTTCTCCTTGGGCCTTTTTTTTTTCGGACCGGATCTATGTCTTGTGTGTATGTGTATATGTGGGAGTTTTGTGTCTCCGGTCCGGCCCGGTTGGTGTGTATGTGTATGAGGATGTGTCAACGGTTGTATGAGATGTGTACTCCTGTATCCCTACCTGGTCTTGTTCTTATCTGTTCTATTTCATACCCTGTTCAACTTCACTGATTTGTCGCCTTTTTATTTGATACCGCGCTTCATGTGCTGCTCTTCTTTCTTTGGAACTGAACCTCCTTTCCCCGACATGTCAAACATGCAGTTGTACAGCGTAGGCTAATTCTTGTCCCCTCCCCATAGGCACAGACTACCCGGGCCACCGGAGCTTGGATACACGCCTCCCACAGCCCTCAATCCCCGACATCCGTCCAGCTCACATCTTCCATGACGCACCAACAACCCTAACCCCAGGCGGCAGCGCCAGCGGCCCCTCCATGCCTCCCCTCCTACGTGACAACAGCCTTACCTCACTAAGCCGCCACTCAATCGCAACCTCCGCCCGTATGGACTCAACTGACCACGACATCGAAGAGAAAGGTCCAACAAACGATGACCTCTTCAGTCACCTCCCAGACGGCAAACGCCGCAAATTCATTCTAGTCGACGACCCACAGCGCGGCTGTCGCGTCCGCGTCAAGGTCGTTCTTGACAAGGTTAACATGGACGAGATCCCAGACTCTTACCGCGAGGCAAACGCCGTCTATCCGCGTACCTATTTCCCCATCCAGATGCGCGATGAGAACCGCGTCGTGCCTGCTAAGCGCTTCTTCCGCGATGATACCGAGCAAGCGGATGATCCCGAAGCAACTACTATCGGCCGAACGACTGTTCCTGCGCCATCCCTTGACACCGATGCTGAAATCGAGGTGCCGAAGATCTCGCGCAGAAAACACCGTAAGGATTTGATGCTTAATGATCTCGGCTACCGTATGAGCTGGAGTCAGAGCCGTGTGTTTGCGGGACGTATGTTATTTTTGCAGCGATCTTGTAAGTGTTTTATTTCCTCATTTTACCCTTTTTGGTATACTTTGTTCCCGAACACGTGCACAATCCGCGGCTGAGACATATGAGAGACCCCGCTAACCGTTTTCGAACAGTGGATGCCTATCGCGATAAAATGCGAAGCAGCATGCTCGCTGCAGGCCAAGATACAGTGGATATTCCCGATCATTTTGATACTCGTCGTGGCAAGCGACGGTTCCTAGAGCGCGGACGTCGTCTGGAGTCTGGATCTGAGAATGCTGCTCGACGGAGTGCAGAGGAAGTTGAAGGTTGAATTCATAATTATATCTGATATTTTTGTTTTTATTTTTTTTTTGTTGGGTTTCAGTATATCTGTTTGCGGTTGAGGTATGTGAGGTATGTGAGGGCGTTGAGGGTTTGCGGAAGAAAACATAAAAATTCCAAAAACAGAAGGATTTTGAAAGGGATGGGATATGTTTGGTATATGGAGATGATACCACGATTTTTCTTTTTTAATGAGACATGTATAGAAATCTAAAGTTGACAGCCACATGGGCAGATAAAAATAGTAACAAGGGGCCACTGTGGACCATATAAGACCCTGGAAGGCATAGAAGGACCCTGGAATGTGAGATTGTATAACCACGTTCACGGTCTCCCAATAATAGTAATATCATTAAAAGATGAACACTTTTTACTACCTCCAGGGCTAGGTAGATGGCTTATTAGTTGATTCAAATTTATTAGCTGACTTTTAGTTCCCGTTGTCCCGGTCACGACTTATTTACCCGACACTTTTAATTTGTTAAACCACGAAGGATTCAAATCCCCTTTGTCTCAGTAAGAAACTGCATTCGGTTTAAATTTCTGCCTTACATTTTTCTCCGTTCGCGGGTTTCAAGTTCTTTCAACTTTTAATTCCAAACGGTCCACTTGGCACTGGACCTGAAACTTCTCAAATGTCAAACGACATAGAAATGGATATCCCACCGCCCCATCGTTATGCGCATACCCGCGAAAATCGAACCATCACACCAGGCGTCGACAACCTCGGCCCCAGCTCACCAGGCGGCGGAATCAGTGGAATCGCTCTAGGAATTGCCAATACACACAGTCGCCAGAGCGGGATTGACGCATCTCGAGGAAACGACGGATACATCGGGCCCGCAGAGCGCGATTTTAACACAACCGGCTCAGACACTCCATACGTACCCTCACCAGGCTATCCAAACGACCAGTTTCATCCGGAACATCTCCACGCTATGAATATGGCGAGGGGCGGCGCCGTCGCTTCCCCCGGTATGCAGACTCCCAGTCAGTCGTCGTCGCATCTGAGCGATCCTGCACACAGCACATACCAATACCCCGCGCCCTATGCGGGTATCACCGACGGACCTTATCAGCGACACTCGACGGCGTACAGTAATGGCGAGATGACGAATATTAACCCTGACGACATCGCCGATGATGGTGATGAAGACTTTGCTCCGAGAAATAAAGCTGCGCCTGTTGCGGGCGCGGCTGCTGGTGCCGCTGGTGGTGGTCTGCTGAAAGGTTTCCTTGGTCGGGAGAAGAATGCTGATGTTGCGTACAATTCAGTTCCTGGTGGTGGGTTGGAGGGAGGTGGCGGATCGGGGAGATCACCAAATAATGGATTGGAGGGACGCAAGAAGATGGGCTGGATTGTCGGTCTTGTTCTTGCGTTTGTGATTGTGGGTGCGATCGTTGGTGGTGCTGTGGGTGGTACTATTGGTTCCCGGCATAAGGAGGACAAGTCCAAGACCGGCGGGGAAGAAACTGCCACCGGTGATGCGAAGACAAATGGAGATCTCGACAAGGATTCCTCCGAGATCAAGGCTCTGATGGGAAATAAGGATCTCCACAAGGTCTTCCCTGGAATGGACTACACGCCCTGGGGCGTGCAGTACCCGGAGTGCATCAAGTGGCCTCCGTCGCAGAACAATGTCACCCGTGACATGGCTGTTCTGTCGCAGTTGACTAACACGGTGCGGCTTTACGGTACGGACTGTAACCAGACTGAAATGGTTCTTCATGCGATCGATCGTCTCGAGCTGAAGGATATCAAACTTTGGCTTGGTGTGTGGATCGACTCGAACACTACCTCTACCGAACGACAGATCAAACACCTCTACAAACTTCTCGATGATACTAAGGATACGTCTATCTACAAGGGTATCATTGTCGGAAACGAAGCCCTCTACCGCGCCGGCTCGAGCAAGGCATCCGCCCAGACTACCTTGATCTCGTACATCAAAGATGTCACGAGCGAGGTTAAGAAGCGCAATCTGAATGATTTGCTGATCGCCACTTCCGACCTGGGTGACAATTGGAATGCAGAGTTAGTGGATGAAGTGGATGTCGTCATGTCCAACGTCCATCCCTTCTTCGCCGGTGTCAACGTCGACATTGCTGTTGGGTGGACATATGATTTCTGGCAAAGCCATGACGTCGTCTTGACCAAGGGCACGAACAAGAAGCAGATCATCTCAGAGGTCGGGTGGCCTAGCGGCGGCGGCAAGGATTGCGGTGATAGCAAGGTCTGCGACGAAGACACGCCTGGTTCTGTCGCCAGTATCGAGAACATGAACAAATTCATGGCTGACTGGATCTGTCCGGCGCTGGAAAATGGAACTGATTATTTCTGGTATGTTTTGTTCGTCAGATCTATCTGCATTACTAACACTCTACAGGTTCGAGGCTTTCGACGAACCATGGAAAATCCAGTTCAATACAGAAGGAAAGGAATGGGAGGATAAATGGGGTCTGATGGACCCTGGACGCAAGCTTAAGAAGGGTCTCAAGATCCCTGACTGCGGCGGCAAGACTGCCTCTTAAGCTGATCCGTGGCTTATGGAATCATGATCATGATGTTTTCTTTTATGTGCATAAGTATTGTTCCATTTTCTTAATCTTGATTGCTTTCTCTGCACTGGCGTTCTGATACCGGAGTCCCCGATGCTTTTATCTCTCATCTTTCCTCTGGTTTGCACTCCATTTCGAACAATCTCGGGGGTTCATGCCTGGCGGTCATCTTTCCTGTCCTTTTTTTTGCAGTTTTTACCCCTGTTCGTCCTCGACTTGAATTACCTTGCATATCTTCTGTGGTTTTATTCCTTGGTTGTTTTTATGAGGGTCTTGTGTTTCGGGGGATTTGCCTTCATGGGATATTCACAGGGATCATTCTTGTTTTGCTTTCCGTACACTATCTATCCTCAGTCTCTATGTACATAATATGTCAATCCATCGAGTTTCGAGTTGCCTAGGGATTCCTGTAACTAGCATATCGACTTCTTTCTTACTTCCACAACACTTCCTATATGAATACTTCCAACTTTCCAAGGTCTATACAGAAATATATCATGATATTTGACTCAATCCCAAGAATTATACCAACTCCATTCCCATGCATACCTAGTCTATGATCTATAACCCATGCATAATCTAATGAACCAAAATTCCCAAATTCCCGAAATCTTCTATATATCACTCCTCGCCCGTCACCTCCTCAGCCCAATATAGCCTCATATTCCAAAAAGCATGCTCGAGTGCTTCAAACACCGGCAAGCAATACGACCCAGCGCCATCTACATAGCCTTGTAGTACACTACCAGAATCCGCATGCTCCAGCGGACCACCGAACAACAGCCACGGCTTCGACGGCAACAATAATTCAAGATGCTTGCGTTCTGCACCGGGGCAGAAGAGCATTGTGTTCGCCGTGATGTGCGAGAAGGCCTCTGGGTGTTTGATCACTGTTATATTCAGGGCTGCGAGGAGGGATTCGTCTAGTGTGTTGAAGACAGGGTCTTGGGCGTAGACTTTGAGATCGGAGGATGTGGTGTCTGTGGGTATGTGGTTAGCGTGTGATAGGATTGGGTATGCGATAGCGATAGTCGAAATAGGCAAGATCAGAAGTAAATCCAATACCCAAAAATGAATCCAAAAACGAATCCAGAAACTAAATCCAGAAACTAAATCCAAAAGACCGGGAAACGAACATGCAACTTGGTCCTTAATGCTCGCCAGCGCGGCAAGCTGATAAAGCGATACAGAGCGCCGATCAACCCATCCATCACGCAAGAACCCACTCGGGCTCCCAAGCCCAATGCAGACAATGGCGTCAATAGGGCAGCGGACCGCGGCGGAAGTGTCATCAGCAACAGAAGAAGCTTGTTCCTGCGCCTTCTTTAAACGTTCATCCAAAACGCCTGTCAATTTAGTCCAACTCTCCGAACCCTCCCACCTCTCACGATGAGTTTGGAACTGAGCCTGCAGCTCGGGCAGGGTGAGTCGACCCGGGGCCTCTGCAGGGGTCAGGATTGGTTCAGACTGGCTAGAGGATATACCGGAGTCGGATTCCTCAATTGCAGTTGTGCCTCGCGGGCGTGTGCGCATTACGCGCCGCACGTTGCCGCCGCTCGCGACATGGGTCCAGCCATCATCGTCGGTCACTTCGGTTCGTTTTTGAGGTTGGCGTTTTGGGCGGGAGGGACGGGATGTATGGGGCATATTATATATATATATATATAATTATAATAAATTGTATAAATATGGTATTGTATTGTGATTTTATATTGGTGAAGCTTTTTTTTTTTTTTGGAGATGCGGGGGAAATGCTTGGCGGGAGTCTAATGGGATTATGTAAGGAGACTTGGAGTACCCGTGCACAGAGTATACAGGAGAGACATTTCACCTGGACATGGTTAGGGTGAGATAGTCATACATATTTCAGTGGATTAATGTGAAATGGTTTGCAGGAGAGAACAAAAGTCCAACAATTTAGAACTCAGCACATATTCTGTAAGCGCCCAAGTTCTTTCCAACGTTAGCGTCCCACCCTCGGCGCTTCCACCGCTGGTCACTCAGCAAATCATCATGCAGTATCACCCTTTAGGTGATGGCACTTGCAGCGAGCTGTGATAATCCCAGGCTACCCCTGCTCTTCATCACGGCCCGGAGCCAGTCACAGTTGTCTTGTCATGCAGTCTTGGTCACATCTCCCTTCCTGGGTTCTGACTCGTCGGCCCCAGTGAAAGTCCAGTACCCCTCAAAAGGACCATTCAGCCCACGAAAATCATGGCTTAGTCTTGGTCTTGGAGTTTCTATGATTTTGGTGTTCATTTTGCCATTACCATTGTCCTCCCTCTACCTACTTGGTTTATCCTGCGATCGGAGAAATTGAGTCGGAGTTTCGCTGAGCGAAATAACCTTTTCCTATTCAGCTTTTGCAAGTCACCGTCGCTGTCACAATCTCACCATGAGCTTCACACATTCCATATCGCGATGGACCTCTGTCCTATTCTTGCTGTGTTTAGGACTGGCGCAAGCTCACACCGTCATCACCTACCCTGGTTATCGAGGAAACAACCTCCACACCAACGGCACCGTTGAGCAAGCTGATGGTCTTGGTGTTGCGTACGATGTGAAAAATGGCTCATACATCTACCCATATGGCATGGAGTGGATTTATCCTTGTAAGACCTATCCGCTCGTCTGTAAATATCAATAACTGACTCGACCTCTTTTCAAGGCGGTGGCATGCCCAGGTCGACCAACCGAACCAAGTGGCCCGTCAGCGGTGGTGCTGTCGCCTTTCAGCCGGGCTGGTTCCCAGGCCACGCCACTGCTCTCATCTATATCAACATAGGATTCGGTGAAATCCCCCCAAACATGAGCCACCCCGTCGTCCCGCCCTTCCAGCTCGTCGGCCCAACCAACAACCCTTACCCCGGTACCGTGTGTCTGCCCCAGGTGCCTCTGCCGGCCAATTTTACCGTCAGCCCAGGCGACTATGCCACAATTCAGCTAGTCGAGACCGCCAAGCACGGCGCTGCCCTATACAATGTACGTTCCACCCTTATTTCTGACAATCAATATACTGACTGGTCTCTAGTGTGTGGATATTGAGTTCGCAGAAGACGGCGATGCATCCGTGGAGACAGTCACCCGCGACAATTGTTTCAATTCATCGGACATCAGTTTCGAGTACATGTACACCACCAGTTCCATTGGTTCGGGTGCGGCCATGTTACAACCGCCGAGATTGTCGGCTGCGGCTGTCGTGCCGCTGTTGCTGGCTCTCGCACTCGGCGTGTACATGTAGATATCATGTTGGGCTTTCTTGATTGCATTTGCGCGCGCTCCTTTTTATCTTTTTGCGCCATACCCCTGATTTTCATTAATCTGTGACGCTTCAAAATCAGTGATGATACTGCATGTCTACGTCTTTGAAATGAACTATATAACTGACTTTTGTGTCTCTGGCGTTTACTGGAGTTTGGGTGTTATGTAGTTCTACTGAACGAATATACTTGTTCAATTTGTTGACGATCTTGAGTAGATTCAATCTCGGCATGCTTCTATTTTTTGGACTTGTGTTTGTGTATCATACAACTGCTTTGTTTGGGCGGCTGAATGGGAGCTGGGAGCACCCGTTGGATCATGTCTAAGAAGATCCGTCGCCGAGATAGAATCATGAGATTGGGATATCATAAGAGGTTGGTATTAGCTATAGCTGAAAAAGGCAGTCAATGAGCTATATCGAGAAAAAGACTCATTAAAGAGTAGTGTTCTATAATTTATTATTGGTTCTTCCATCGATATTCTATCATTGGACCTATATTATATATTATAATAATAAGCCCAGCATGTCTTCTCCGTACTAATACATGATGTGATTTATATGTCATTCAAGGCAGCCAAGCTTTGTTGACCCATGGGTAGGAATGCAGGTCAGATGACCCTAGGCGACCACTCAGTTCATCACCAACATTTGCCATCTAAACTTTTCGATCACTACCCTATTATGTCTTTGAACACACATCCCCCAGAAGCACTCCGTGAAGCTCTCACGGCGCTTGGAGATGCACTCGGTGATGAAAGGTACGCTCTTGTCGGTGGCAGTGCTTGTACAGCTCTAGGCTCCGAACGAGCAACCCAAGATATCGACTTTGTTGTTCCCAAAGGCCAAACTCCTTCTGTGAGAAAGATATTACGGAATTCCCCTGCATTTGAGGTTGAAGCAAGAACATACCACACATGGTATAGGGCTGCTGAACCGGTAGAGATTGAGATCCTCGCGCCTCCCGCTTTGTTCCAGGAAACATTTGATGAAACCACTGAAGTGATCACGGTTGGGAACTTGAAGGTTCTAAAGCCGGCTTTGCTTTTGAATGCAAAGTGCGGGTCTATCCTCGGTCGTGCCAGTGAAGCTAAGAAGAGAACGGATGCTCAAGATATTTTGTTCCTTCTTGGTTACTGCGCTGAAAACCCCGATCAGCTTCCAAAAGCTTCGGAGGTTCCAAATGCGAGTAAAGACTTTGTTGAGGCATTCATTCAAAAGTACAGTGGTCAGGGATCTTGGATTGCAGCTGGATATGACTTGCAGAATGGTTTGTTATATCGGATTCCGGGTTGAACGCTCGGTACCCATACTAACAACTTATAGGCTGCTTCACAAGAGATTAGAGTCGTTGGTCAAATTTGACCCTCTAAAACGTCAGTTCCGCCCTTTGATAATAAAAGTCTCAGTTTAACAGAATAAACCTGATTCTGCATTTCATGCTTCAATATGTTTCTTCTTCGAATTCATCCTTGACTTTGTTTTAGCTATAAAAGTGCTATCAAGAATCGGAATAATAACAAAGAGTAGTCATGTCCGGCTTATCACTACGATGTGCAGTATGTCTGACAGTAGAATACTTCAAACATCCACCAGGAAATATTTGTGATAATTTCCACTCGGCTTAACTCTCATCCACACCAATATTCAAATTAAGAATCTATTTCAATTAATACATAGAATAAATAGCATTGAAAGCTTTCATCTTTGAACAGTCGACTGATGCGTCAAGTCACGTGGCAGGTATTTATTTGTACCCTGTCAGTCGCGAGATCGAAGGTTCCTTCCTTCAGATACCTAACAACATCGCTTCTTTTCATCAATCTACATACAACATATCAGCATCAGACATCTGCACCTGAAATCACTACAATTGTATCAGTACCTGCACTACAAGTAGTAAGCCTCATATGCACCATGCCCTATCAAGAGTCCAACACCGAGACAAGATATAAGCCATGTCAAGTGCTATCAGACCACCAAATCCCCTACGTCATCTGGTTCGAAGATGCTCTTCATTATTACGGCGTTCCCACGTTCAAGTTCAATCTCTATCTCCTTGTCTCAGACCTTGACAAGGCAGCCGAATTACTCATTAAGGCCGGATGGGCTCTTGATTCGCAAGGACCACGTAAAATCGGGAATGCGAAGGTGGAACTCCCACAAAAACGACTTGTTACCCCAACCAACCAGACAATAACTGTTCTTCTTCCCGCTGAAGAGTGGAAGTTTCCACTGGTAGCCAAATCACCTGGGGATACATTGGCACTGGAGTCATTTCGCGAGGATCTGTCATTCCCACCACTACCAGGCCTGCTTGATGCACTGATTGAGAGCTGGCTAGACTGTCCTAGTGATGATGCTATGTTGCTGCTTCACTTGGCCTGTCAAATTTCTTATCTTTATGAATATGTCCCCGCTCTAAAACGGGCGTCGTTCGCTGAACAGATGAGATATGAACATCGTCAGTTCCACTTTGATGTATTGGCGGGAATGGAGACGGGCACTGTCCAATTCAGGAAACATCAATGTGCTATTCGAGATGCACTATTACAGGGCCAGTATGAACTGCGGGAATGTTCGGCGTCTCGTGATAATGAAGATCTCTTTGATACAGGGAGAGTGGGAATATCGTTATGAATGGTATTCGGCAATATACTACTATGGGAGGTTTTTTTCGATGCAAAAATGTTTGTTGATTATCACGGGGACATGAGATTAGCACATGAAGAGTCGGTGGATAGATAATGTAATCGATTATGTATAACCAGAATCCCAACCAACATGCCCATAATATGTCGATAAAAAATATACCTGCAGCAAGACCAATACAACAGGCCTTTTATTCCTAGCGCACCATTTACTGACTTGATTTGGAGATAAAACAAAAGTATTAGGGCAGATCATATTGTGTTTTTGTTGACCAAATCTATGAAAAGAGAAATAAGTCTGAAAACGGCCAAAAACGATATACCATCTCGTTTTAGGGCTCACCCAGCCCTAATAAGGGATCGGGTTGAGACATAAAAGAACGACAATAATACAGGGTGGGAAAGAAGAACGAGGGTATCATGGAAGCGAACAACTCCAATGGGCCACACCGGAAGATAAAAAAAAATAGAAAGAAAGAAGAAGTAAAAGGCTTGGTATAATACCCAGTTGCAGGTCAGAGTTCTTCCAAAAGAGAGCGAGAAGAGTGGAATACAGGCCACAGCCAAGAAAAAGAAAGTAAAGAGTGCGTGAGAAGAAGCAAACCAAAGGGCGTATATCGGTCATTAGAGATTAGATATCGTCGAAGATGGAATCAATTTTTGAAGGAAAGACAACAGTAGCCATCATAGGCCACAAGTCTTCCCTGGCAGAAAATGGTGGTCAGGAAGGAGATTGAAAGGCATTTGTACTGGAACGGGAAAGATGGGTATCTGTTCAATCGTCTGGATCAAACAATGGCCAAAAGAAGAAAGCGCTGGTCTGCGATATTATGAACCGCGCAGACCAAATGCTTTCCGAAGAAGAGGAAATCGTTTCTTTCGTCCCGAGCCAGTGATCACGATGTCACGCGCTGAAGGCCCATGGTCATCGGGGTTTGTGAATTCAGAGGTACTGTCATTGTTCGGATCTAGTCCGTTGCGGGGTATCTCGGGCTCCTTCGCAATTGGGGATGCACTGTGAGTGCCATTCCCATTGACAAAGGCGCTCCCATTGTGTGCTGCACCTGCATCTTCTGTTGGCCGCGCGGGGTCTTGCATTTGGAGGACAGACGATTGGGCACTGTCTGGCTGTTCTATAACTGGCTGGAGATGCTCTTCTTCCCTAACATTGGGGTGAAGGGGCCAAGGGGTTGATCCCACCGACTGGCGTTTAGAATTTCTCTTCACCAGCCTGGATGGGCGAGTCGGCTCGGTATTCCCGGCAGACACTGTGGTTGTGGTGATGCCGCGGTTTCCATTCACCATGTCCTCGCTGCGTAATTGATCGCGCTCCAGAGGCGACCGCTCTAGTGGGCTTTCGACGTCAGCTTCGCGAGCTCTATTATCCGGGTTCTTGGACTTCTTGATGCCAAGGCGGGTGAGCAGTCCTGTCTTCCGACCACGGGGAGGCGCCATGATGAACTCCTCCAGGTCTCTTTGCGACATGCCACGTTGTTTGGCCACAGCTGCCATTCCAGACATATTTGGTGCGTTTTTCCCGTGGGATCCGGGTGAAGATGTCACTGGCTGGGATGCAAGCACTGGATGCACTTGCTGGTGGGCGCTCTCTTCTGAACTATCCTCCAACTCTGTCGAGTCACCGTCGTCGGCACGACGGGGGATACCGCGGACAGGGCGCAACTTATTGCTTCCTGGCTCCTCATCGCTGGAATCTGCGAATCGACTGGTGAAGACCCGAGGTGGGCCTTCATCCTCGCCATCTGAATTTGCGAACCGAGTTGCACGCGCCGACTTAGGGGGCGCCTTGGTGAATTTCCCTCTCGCCGGTGCCTTCTTGTTCGTCGAGAAGAATGAATATCGCTCACCGCCAGCAGGCTCTCGGAGAGTCTTGCGCATTGTACCATTCGAGGAGCCAGATGAAAGAGGACGATGTCCAAGGGGAGAATCGTTGCGTTCAGTTGGAGATTGCACTTGGACGTTAGCACCAGCAGCACCGGCTCTCATTGTTCGTCGCATGGCGTGGGGATTTCCGCGTGGAGAAGAGCGTTTGAAACTGCTTGAGGAATCACTTCCATTCGACATTTTCCGGCGAAGACTGCCAGGAATACCTGGTTGACCTCCTGAATTGTGGAAAATTGGACCAAGAGACACCGGACGCGGCTTGGGCTTGCCACCTCGTGAAGACTTATCGTTGCTCGACCATCGAGGATCCTGCATACGAGACATACCATTCACATCCACCGACATGGGGCGGGTTCGCGTGGTGGGCTGTGCTTGAACGCTGCCATTTTTGGCAGTCGCGTTACGAGTTTGCACCCGGACTGGCACTGGCGCGTGTGCAGAACCAGATCCATGGCCGATTGAGGAGGCAGGGGACTCCTCTACCAGGCGGTTGACTGAGTCTTGTGTCGGCGTTAAGCAGCGCGCCTCTTGAAGTGGTTGATTTGTCAAGTCTTGTGACTGACTGTCCACAATGGTAGCTCTATCGATCGGCCTTGGCGTTGCGTCCCGGGATTCGCTCGCGCTCTCCTCGATTGGTGCTGACCTAGGGACTGACCGACTATCGACAATGGCATTAATGGACCCAAACCCATCACCGTCGATGTCTTCCGCTGCATCGCTGTAGATGCTATCACCAGAAGACTCCTCTGCATCCACGTCGTCCAGTTTGGGGACGGCGGTTGCCACGGCCTGTGTGCTAGTCTTCTTCGCTGTCGAATCGAGAGTGCGGTCTGAACTGGAGGGCGGGAATCCGCCTGGAATCATATACTGGTCCATGCTAGATCTTTTCATGTCGAACCTTTGACTAGTTCCGTCTGCTGGAGGCGTAGCAGGCTCAACAGCAATGGCAGGCACCGATAGTCCTGAGCCCACGCTGGGATACGGCTGTTTCTCCGTGATGTCATTAATGACTCCAGACGCTCGTTTGGCCCCTGTGCTAGTATCTGAATTCAAACTATGCAAGGTGCCGTTGACAGACAGTTGCTCCAGAGCGCTCAAATCGCGTGAGTGGAAGTATTCATCTTGTTGCGTCTTAGGGGCCAAACTTTCGAGAACTTGGTCATTTGAAAGCAATATACCCGGCCTTGGCGCCACATCAGATTCAGTCGAAGAGCTAGACTCATTGTCACTGAAGTCTGGGATTGGCGACCTCTTGAGAGCGCCGCCACGGCTCCCTCGAATGCTGCCGAAAGATGGAAGAACCTGTCGGGGTTTCATGACTACATCCCAGTCATCATCGCTCGCAAACTCCGCCGGCGACTTCTTCTTGCCAACACCAAGCCAAGGCATACGAGACTTGGCTTTAATGCCGGGTGGTGAATCAGGCATATATTCTTCCGGTGAGGTAGGAGGGCTGGCCGCTGCATTGACAACCTCTGCCTCATCGTCGAAACTGACCTTGACAGACTTCTTCTTGGCATCAACCCGGGATCCTTCCTCTGAAGCCACTGAGGTACCATCTGATAATTCGCTTGGTGGTAGGACTCGACCGGTTGCCTCAGCCCTCCTATTAGGTGATAAAGAGGTTCCTCTGGGGTGTTTTAAGGCCGATTTGACAGGAGATACTGATCTGGGCGGAGGCTGGTGGACTTGATCCCCGGCTCCAGCCACGGAGAGCAATCTTGAAAAACGAGCAGTTCGACCTGGGCTGCTCGACTGGCGGTGTGGCCGCTCCCCTATTTGCAGTTCCGTCGAGGGTGATGAGGAGACTGACACTGCCTCTACGTGATCAGCAGTTGGCGACGCACTCGTCATCCGGTCTCTCCCTTGCCGAATAGGGTTATCTCCAACATTCGTGCCGTCATCTTGGGGCTCTTCTTCTTCTCGGACGGTGGATGGCCACCGCACAGGAAGAGATCGGGAGGTTGGATGTTCACTCTCCACGCTGGCCGCAACAGGCATTGCATTACCGGTATATTGGTCTAGAGGATCGGCCTCTATAAGCGAATTTTGCACCTTTCTAATCCGACCATTCACACTTGGGCTGTCCTTTGGCACGCCAATCGCTTGGGCTGCAGCAATTGTGCTGCTAGCCAAAGGATCAAAATTGTTTACAACAGGGCTCCCATCTAGACTGCCAGGGGGCTGTGCCTTATACTTCCCCGTTGGATGTTTGTCAGATACCTCAGCAATCGATTCTTGAATAGCATTGTGGAGGCTCATCGTATTATTCTCAGACATCGCAATCGGCGAGGTAGGCCGTGAGCCCAGAGGATACGAGAAATTCACCGAATTTCGACTCGCTGATCGGTCCAATTCAGGAACAGTTCCAAGACTAGTCACGCGTTGATGTGTAGCTAGCTGAATCGGAGACCCTCGCCCATGTTCCCGATCCACGCCCCTCACGCCCGCGCGTGGCGGAGACGATGGAGGCGAACGCATCGACGGCCCCATGCTCAGCGCACGTCGGCTCGGCAGTTTCCGCGGTGTAAACTGGGTCGGGAGAGAAGGCAACGGCGGCACATCGACGGGTACAGGAGCAGGCCCCACGGGTCCAGAACTGGTAGATGGGCGACTGGGGGACTGGTCGCGAAAGGTGCGTGCGCTCATCGAAACATTGCTACTGGAGCGGCGCAGCGTCCCGCCCACGCTGGCCGAGCGGCGACCTCCAAGGGGGCTAGCCTGTGACTGAGTCGAGTTGCGCCGCTGGACCATGCGTTTTGTCTGCACATTTTCGATGGGGGTTGGGGTGGGCGTGCAGTTACGCAGCGCTGCTGCTGCCGCTGCGGAGGACAAGCTAGCTGTGGAGGTTTGTGATTTTAGGAAAGCATGGCTGGCGGCGGACTGGGCGGATTGCGCGGCAGGTGTGGAGAGCGGCTAGGAGGAAGGAAGGGGAGCTGTCAGTTTAATTTTCATGCATAGGTTGCAGGTAGCCGTTGGATTGCATCAAGTGCTGCAGAGTCCATTTGTATATTGGGAAACCTGCTATCCTTTGGTATTTGACGCGTGGGACACACACCTGGTGATGGGCAGAGGCACTTCTCTTGCGACGGCCGAAGACCATTGTTCAGAGTCTTGAACCTTTTAGGAACTAGAACGGGCCAAAGATCGGATGGCCGGGCACTGCTTGGTGCAGCGCCGGGATCCGAGATTGAAGTGGATGAAGGGAATGTGGATCTCCTAGTTAATGATGCGATAGCTATAAGGTGTGGAACTAGGAAGTTGAGAAGCCGAGGGGGAATAACTCGGCAGGGTTCGACCAAGTCAGAGCTAGACACAAGGAGATACGAAGAGAGAGAGAGAGAGTAACGAAAGCTTTCAAGAAAGGGAGAGAAGGAAAAAAAAGATTAAAGTCTAGGCAGATCCAGACAGATCCGAGATCGAGAGGAACGTCATGACTTTTGATGGGTCAGGCACAAGAACTTGGCTTTACCGCCTTGAGGTTTTTATGCAATTGTTTATATTATCTTCACATGTACAGCAGGTATAAAACTAGGCAATAACTCCATATATATGTGTAGATTCATATTTCTGCCATAATTTCCCCATATATTCCATATACTATTCCATTTTATCTAGATTACAATCTCAACCATGACTCTTCCACCCCTCCCCCTCCCCGCAGGCATAACAAGCCGCAACATCCAAACCAACGATCTAAACATCCACATTTTAGAAGCCGGCCAAACCCCGAAAAACGACAAGCCATTAATCCTCCTCCTCCACGGCTTCCCAGAAATAGCCTACTCATGGCGTCGCGTCCTCCCCAAACTAGCAGCTGCAGGCTTCCACGCCGTAGCCCCAGACCAACGCGGCTTTGGCCGCACCACAGGCTGGGACACGCGCAGTTACGAGGACGTCGACCTGGCGACTTTCTCGTTATCTAGCCTGGTGCGGGATATTGTGCTCCTCGTACACGCGCTAGGCTACCGCTCCGTGCGATGCGTCGCAGGTCACGACTGTGGTGCTGTATCGGCAGCCATGTGCGCCATAATGCGACCAGATTTCTTCCAGAGCGTGGCGCTTATGAGCCATCCGTTCAACGGAGCCCCAGATTTACCGTTTAATACGGCGAATGCGGATGCCGCGGCAGGTGGGTCTGATACGGGTGCGGGCGGTGCTGAGGGGTCTGCTACTGCGGTGGGGATCCATGAGGCACTTGCAGAGCTGGACCGGAAGCATTATAAGTGGTATTACTCAACTAAGGAGGCTGGGCCTGAAATGTCGGATCTGGGAACTGAGGAAATGCATCGCTTCTTGCGGGGATACTTTCATCTAAAGAGCGGTTCGTGGTCGGGCAATCGCCCACATCCGCTCGGGAAATGGTCTGCAGACGACCTGGTTCAGCTACCCGGGTACTATATCATGCCGTTGAATGATACTATGCCTGCGACAGTGGCGCGCGATATGGAGCACGAGTTGTCCGGCGGTCTAGCCTCGCATTCGTGGCTACCGGATGAGGAGCTTGCTGTTTATGCGGGTGAGTATGGTCGCACAGGATATCAAGGTGGGCTAAATTGGTATCGTGTTCGTACTGCTGCTGGGGGCCGGTATACGAAGGACTTTGATATCTTTGCTGGGAAGAAGCTCGAGCCGCCTTGTGCTTTTGTTTCAGGAAAGTTGGACTGGGGTAACTATCAGGAGCCTGGTGCCATCGAGAAAATGAAAAACGGGGTTTCGTGCGCTGACCTGCGTATATTTCGGTTGGTGGATGGGGTTGGGCATTGGACACCTCAGGAAAGTCCGGAGGAGGTGGCGCGCGCGATCTTGGATTTGATCGGAGGTCTGCGGGATTAGTTTCTTATAATTGATAAGGCAATATTCAAAGGAGTCAGCCCTTGAACTTCCGCACTGGGTAAGGGGTGATGTGCGGCTGGAGTGCTTGTTTGGTGAAACCAGGAAGAAAGTCGACTCCTCAAACAAGAGACGAGATAGAATACTGGAAAGCCAGGGAAGAGAAACACGATTTCTTCATACATGACTGATGTCTTGTATTTCACGGCTGCTAGAGTCTTCTGTTAGAAGCATGTGCCTTGGATACCATACAGATAGTACATTCTCCTCAGTTCTGCACCTGCTACATACTATTCTCTACTCTTGACCGAAAAGCCCATATTTAACGGAATAGTATGCGATATACACTCGAGGTTGTAGACAATTGGGATCACAGAAAGATAGATTGAACTGAATGCTTCTTTATATCAACATTGGGGATCGGTAATAGGTGAACCAATTAGATCTCAACCCGAGAGTGGAAGCAACCAGCCTTCTTGGGGGTGTGAGCATGCGAGCGGGGTGCTCTTTTAGTGACCTCGGCGGGTGGTGGACTCCGCTTAGGGAACCCACGAAGGCTGTTGGCGTATTTCGCGACAGCGTAAGCCGTAGCCTTGGTATTAATGAGGAAGGCCTTGTGATTGAGATTGGTGAAGTCGTCTCCAGCGGCATGGTAGTTCACATCGTAGGCTACATTTGCTTCGCCTCCGAAAAGTTTTGCTTCCTCCTCGGTCTTAACGCCTTCAGCACCAGTGAAAAGTCCACCGGCGGGGATTCCACGAGAGATGAAACCGTCGTAGTCAGATCGGCCATCGAACTCGGTGGGAATGGTCGGCAGCTTCTTGGATTTGAAGTATTCCTCAAACATATGCTCGATCTCAGCAGAACCTGCTGGTCCAGTCGCGTTGAAAGCGTCTCCATCGCCATCATAGACCATGAGTGCGTAGTTGGGCGAGGCAATCATATCCATGTTGAGGTACAGTCTGATTTTCATGTTTTCCTCAGCGGTCAGATGCGAGGTGTAGTACTCACTGCCCAGCAGGCCGAACTCCTCTCCGGTCCAGAAGCAGAATCTCACAGCATTCTTGACATGGTACCGTGTCAATGCCTTTGCTACCACGAGGTTACCGATGATTCCAGATCCATCATCGTTGATGCCCGGGCCGTCATTGACAGAGTCGGTGTGACCTCCCAATGAGATAACGTTATTGTGATCACCGCCCTTTGTCTCTGCAATCACGTTGAATGTAGTGCGATTTTCGATTTTGCCGTCGATCATCAAGTCAAGAGTCACGGCGCCCTTCCCGGCAGCATCGAGAATGGTCTTGCCGTCAACATCAGAGATTCCTGCAATGGGAGAATAATCATCGGATGGTCCACCCAGTGTTCCACTAACAGTGCCTGCCTCGTTGTTGTAAACAAGTACTGCTGCAGCCTTGGCTGCACCACCCATCAACGCCTTTTCTCCGAAAGTACATTCTCCACGTTTAACTAGGGCAATTTTACCAGCCACTTCGGCCGGGTAGTCCGCTGCAGTGCATCCGAGGTTGGAGACAACTGCCACCTCTGCAGCAACATCAACGCTGGGACTGTATGTCATGGCGGTTGCTTCGATGGCCTTGCCGTCGAGCGTCAGCTCAGTCTCCGCGCTAGTCCATGTGTGCACCTGCTTCTGCTTGTACACATTGTAATAGCCAGTCTTCTTCAACTCGCGATAGAGGAAGTCGACAGTATCGTTATGTGCCGCACTGCCAAAGGCGCGATTGCGGTCTGGATACGAATAGGCGAGATCCTCAAGATGTTTGGCCCCCTTCAATAGGTCTTTCAGTCGAATATCAGAAGGGAAATCATCCTAAAAAAAAGTCAGACTACCTAATAACGACGGCCGAGATATACCATGCATACATACCGGTGAAACTAGGGGCTTCCTCCGACCAGCGGCAGCCAAGGCCACGGACAGGTGTGTAATCAACAAAAGTAACTTCATCGTCAAGTAATGCGCGAATCGATACTATTCTGAGTCAAGGGCAGCTAGCTTTTATACCTATTCTTCGGACTTGTCGGTGACCACCTGAATCACGCGATGATAAATTGCAATGGTGCATGATTGGCAGGGCCCAAGGGATATGCCAAGACTCTGGCTTGCTGTACTTGGCAGAGGAGGAAGCAATTCTATAGGGCCGGCTGGTATCCTGCACGCGGAGCCCCGACGGCACCTGTAAATACGAAGTCTGAGGTTACAGTGCCAAGTGATAACAGGCCACGGGAGTTGCGGGGTTGTGGGGGGTTGCGCTTATTGTGCCTTGAAATTGTTATCTAGAAGCATAGCGGACCTGAAGACAAATTTATTTACCCGTACGGAGTCCCCCGTAGCGCTTAGTAGGCGTCCTTGGCAATGTCCATCCTAATCACATCCTAATCACATCGTCCCAATCTGCATTAGGGCATTCAAATTTAGGTTCAAATCCGTCCTTGACTCCGAGTTGAGCATTATAACTCCAACAATCATACTCCGTGAAATATAGTCTTCCCCGCACCATAGATGAAAACATGCGCCTCTTCAATCCACTAGCCCCCTCTAATCTCATAGATCATAACAATCCAACCTTCGGCCTTGCAGTGACATCTCAAACTCTCAGCATGTTCTTGTGTATCATTTTGGGCATACCTTCCAACATTCCGTGCCAGTCTCCACCGTCTATGAACTCTAGCATGCTAAGCGCAAAGGAACGGATTTTGGCAGTGCGGTGAAGAAGAAGATAATGTCAGATTACGAGACTGCGAGACTAGGAAGCGGGACGGTTCGAAGTGGCGCAGCCTCGGCGACATTTCCACAGGCACAATGCTCTGTAATGGGATCAGACGGTCAGTCTGTGTAGCCGGCCTCGTCATCTTACGAATTGCTCATGACTGTCGTATACGACCTAAAATCCTACATATCTTTTCCCTCACCGAGTCCGCGACGCAGCGGTCTTGTCAAGAAGAATCACCAGCATCGACCGAGGTCTTCATCAAGTTCTTCGCTCATGGGCATGGCAATGTCAAGACGGCGAGATTGTCGTGGCCTTCCCAGAGCTAGTCGAAAATCGTACAGTGTATCCCAAACGAGAGATGATTAGAAGTCATAACCAGCTCAGAAACAGAACTTAGTTATTAGGAGCATATGAATCGTTGTTCGTCGTGCGAAACCAACAGTACCATCCTCTGATCTCGGGGTATTCGTTCCACTCTTACGCAGTCGCAGGATCAGGATAAGAGTGGGAAGGAGCCATCCGGCAGAATAAAATAATTGGGCTCATTTAGGGAAAGCGTGGATCATAGGGGTCGGGTTCAGCGGACGAAGAAATGGCGATGGGCTGCGGGTGTGATAATGACTCTTCTAGCGCAGGACACTGCTTGGTACCGCATAAAAATACGTGCATATCACTATTATCGGCAAGGACAGCTTCTTGCTAACATAGTAAGTGCTGATGACTCTTAGGCACTCCCTTAGGGGAGGCTGGGGCAAACCCCGTTCTCGGCGCGCAACATGGTCGGGTCTGTCGACGTCTCTGCTCCTCCGCCTAAGATAGTTCAAGGTTCTCTCGCAAGCATCCTTAAACCACATACGACCCCCATTTTCCTCCTTGGATTTATGTCACTCCACGATCCTCTCCTAGAGGAAATAGCTTGGGCGTGTTCTCGCCTGACAGTAGTGCGTGTCGCTCGTTGTTTTCCAATAATCGCTGTGGGGTTTTAGGCAACCTCTCCTCGTCGCCAAAGAGCTCCGTTACTCTGTGGTGGAACTTGTCGTGGGCAGCGATTTCGCGCAAGACTTCTACGTTGAGTGGGCTGGCAGATAAGAGGACCAAATTGAGGCGGTGAAGCAATTTATTGTTGAATTAGTTACATACCAGTCGGTATGAATTTATGTCGGCATTGGATAGATAATGATGCGATGGATGCCCATAGCTCGAAGTGGAGCGCGGGGAGGCTGGTCCAGTAAGTCATGATCTCGTAATGCCGTGTCAAGTTTATAGGTCTGCAAAAAAAAGAAAGAAAAAAAAAAAAGACGGGAACCGGCTTTGTTGTGCAAACGACTTGTCTATGTATGACATTTGATTAAGCACTCAGAGGCACTAAGGCACTAAACAAGCAAAAGATCAAAAGCTACGGCTCCATATTTCAGGGAGGCCAAGCTGTTGACCCGCTCTCCATTATTGGGCCCCATTTTCGAGCCTTGTACGAAGCACGATGTAAGTGCGAAAACTGTCTGTGCAATCAGCCTGCGCATAGTGCAACAGTATCCCATGGCCAAAAAGCGTAGCTTATCCTAGTAGATGATATTGCATGAATCAAGTAGATGACAGCTTAGTCCTAAGAAGCCACTCAAGAAAGGGAACGAAAGCCCTATTAAAATTCTAGGATCGTAAGAGCAAGCAATGTGGAAGGAGATGATCACCATGAAAGTAAAAGAAAACAGATGTGAAGATAAGGTTTGGTCGTTTTCGGCTTCGAGAATAGGCACTTAAAACTCATTTATGATTCGCTTTCGCTTGGAAGAATTGACTTTCTAGCTTACTATAATGGTACCTCCCTTATGTACCCTACTGCGGTAGCGGCTTCCTTGTTCCAATCGCCTCTTGCGATCGATGATTTTTGATTGATACATACAGTTATGTTTGTGTGGGCGTCAAATATGCATATCCTGCAGGGTGTTCTGGGCAATCGGTTTCTTCTATTTAGGCTGTGTAGAATAGGTTCTCTGGTGCTATTATAGTGCTCGGCTGAGCCATATAAGCTATTACAAAGTATGACTAGTTTGTAGGATGCGAATGGAACAGGAATTAGAATCTTGATGAGGTTTATGTACAACATAGGGACCATGTGCCCAGTACACCATCCGCTTGGTCTAGGATGGGAAGGCAATTCTCAATACAGAGCACGATTTACAAGGTGGAGTGTAATTAATTGTATACAGATCTATAGAAAAGTCGAAAACCCTTGGAAATGGTCGGACGTGCCAATGGTCAGCGTGGAGACGTCGTGGGACCTACCATGGTTGTGAAATATATAACCCGAGACCCGAGATCTATGGTAACTATATTTCCACTTACTACAACAACATGAGCAAAAGAGAATGACTCATTCTTGAACATATTTACGCTTTAACTTGAATGAATATCAGAGGCAAAATGCGGCTTGATTTTTTTTTGCCAAGCCAATAATATATGCGTGATGGGTTACTGCCCAACTTCAATATGAGACAGAAAAGCACAAAAGCGGAGTACAGAAGGTGTGGACCTGGCCCCGATTTTTGCATTATGAGCTACTAGTTACAAGGAAGTCAAGGCTAATTGAGTACAGATAAATCCATTCAAGTTTTCACCAGCACACAAAGAGTTGCATACATGAGATCGTCATACAAAGGAAAATTAAATCACACAGGCAAAAGGAAAAGGAAACAAATAACTATTCATCACACCATCGATGAGGGACAACCGTATCCAGACCCCCTCTAGGAGAAACCCAGAAAAAAAATTTACAGACGGGAACCGTGGATGACCTTGTAGTCGACGACGAGCTCACGGCCACCATCGTTGATGACGAGAGCACGGACGGAACCACGGCCCTCAGCGAAGGCATCGCCGATGCGCTTGAAGAGGTTGCCCTGGGAGATGACGGAGATACCCTGCTTGACATCACCACTCTCGGTCATGGCGACGAGACGGTTATCATCACGGAGGTCCAGGATGCGGTAGGTCTTGAAGACAGGGCCGAGCATGGTCTGGACAACCACGGAGGGAGAGGGGTTGGCGACGAAGCTGGACTCCTCCTGCAGCTTGCGGGTGAAGAGGTCGACACCGAGGTAGCGGTGCTGGCCAGTCTGGGGGGAGACCGAGATGCGAATCACCTGGCAAGGGCGGCCCTGAAGGATCAGGATGTCGCCGACGCGGATGAAGTGGCAGGGGATGGGGACAGTCTCGCCAGTGGTGCCGCGGTTGCGGGGCTCGACAATGCGGACGTTCTCACGGGGAGCAGCGACCTCACCAGCGTGAGACTCGGCATGCTCAGAGTGGGAGAAGGGGTGCAGGACACGGTCGGCAGCACGCTCAACGCCGCGGCGGAAAGAGTGGTACTGGCCTTCGTCGTCGTAGTAACCCATTTTGCGAGAGGGGGCGGTGTCACGGGTAGTGGACTGAGAGACGTTTACTTGGGATGGGGTGGAGTAACGAGCACGGGGCTGAACTTCACGAAGGTAGACGTCGTCTTCCTTGTAAGAGTCGGTCTGGGGCTGGGAAATCCGGTCGTACGAAACGTCGACGGACTCGGATTGGTAACCGTAGGCGGAGTCTACGGGCTGACGATAACGACGGTCGTAAGAGACGTCGAGGTCGTAGGAGGGAGAGGTACGCTGACGGTAGTCTCTTTCAGTGAGGTCGAGTTGATTCTCGACGACTTTATCGTAGACTTGAGAACGGTCCTCGTAGTCGACAGAAGGTTGTTGGTAACTGGGGTAGCTAAGAAAGGTCAGCCCACATGCACGGGTACCATAAACATATAAACAAAACAAGACGGGTCACCGCTAATTGAAGTGGATCAGGTTTTGATGACACGTAATTTTAGTCCCCGACCAAATCCGTAACCAATCTAAACCGAGATAGGAGATCTCACAACAAATAATGGTAGTTCAGCTGCAGGTCTCCACTTTCACAAGTGTGGATCTCTGGAGGCTGGGGGTAAAACAAAAAGTACAAAACCAATACCAGGAAAAACAATTACATACCGTTCACGAGTAAGCTCGACTTCAGGGGCGTAGTCGTGCGAAGACTGGTGCTGGTGCTGACGCGAGTACGACTGCGAGTACTGCTGCGGCTGCTGCGTGTACTGAGGGTGCTCTTCTTGAGTGCGCGAACGCTCTGCTTGAACACGAAACTCGACTTCTTCCTTTCCGTGAACAGGAGCAGGAAGGGGAGCGGAACTTCGAGTATCTTCCCGTTCGGCGCG